GCATGTAACTGCATGTAACTGCATGTAACAGCATATAACAGCATATAACAGCATGTAACAGCATGTAACTGCATGTAACAGCATGTAACAGCATGTAACAGCATGTCCTTCAAGTGTTAAAAATAACAAAAATCTTTAAAAAGACAAGTTCTTCCACAGTGTTTTGCCAGTACCAATTTGTAAATGAGTTATAAGGCTATGCTTTTTATTCTTCCCTCGTAAGTGGGGAAATGTAAGAATATGTGTCAGCCCACCGTCATCATAGTCTGCAGGACAGGATCTGGGAAGACTGTTACCTGCAGGGACCAAATGGAGAATGAGCTATCAGTTAAATAAATGTCCTCACCAACCCACTCATTACACTGTTACAGATTGAAAATCAGAAACTATATTCTTGTCACTCTCCTTTTCCTTTTTAGTTTATTCTGTTTTGAGTCTCTCACACGCACATAGATGAGAAACGCACCCTGATATCTTCGGGAGTGTCTGTCTGTCTGGATCACAACCTGCTAACCCAGCTGTGTCTGCAGATCATCTCTTTGTTTACACATTAAGGTCTTTATCGTGTTATTGTTCTGAAACATTGGCACTGATGTCCTGCTCTTTGGTGTTAATAACAGAAATTCCACATTCACCAAGTTTTTCATTTTTAATATGATTTTAGCATGATTAATGGCAGAAATAATCTTGCTGGTGTTAGGCTACTACATTTTTTTTATTTTTTATAAAAAGAAACGTTATATACAAAATTGACTCTGAAATCACTTTCAGGCTGATGAAATTGAGTATAACAGGAAAAACACACATTCCCTCTCTACTCTAATATAATATGAATCACTTGACCATTATTATTTTTTGCTTTCACCCTTCCATCTTTTGGGCTTGTTGTTTATCTTTAATGGAAATGGACGTGTATTATCTGCTTATGAGCTTTTCTATTATCCCATGAAGCCCGTTGTCCTCATCCACACTATATTTCCTGAGCAGTTAGTCAGCCCTGTTTGGTATCAGACACGCATTCACTCACATCCCTTCCCCCTGCTTTGTCTCAAACCACACATGTGAACCCCCCATTCACCACACACACACACACACACAGACACCACCACCACCACCACCATTATACCATGTTGGGGGAAACGGTGGCCTTGAACCTGTCTAGCTCCTCCCCCACCAGTCCTCTGGTATAACCACCGACCCCCAACATATTCCTCGTCTGCCTCCGCATGCAGGCATTCCCTTGGCAACTGTGGTGTGTCGGTGCCTGCCTAGCAACCAGAAGGCTCTCACTCCTTCCTAAATGGCTCGTGGCATGTGTGTGTGTGGGGGGGGGGGGGGTTGCAGCCTGGGGCTTGATGAAGATTGATTGCAGACAAAAGACCTCATGTGTTTCTTGTGTTGTTGTTGTCGTCCAGGCTGAAGCCTGTACAGGAGGAGTCTCTGCAGCTGTGTTGCCTGTATAACGTCACATGTCAGCGTTACATTTAATCCGTATAAGTCACGTGCATGTCATTGTCAAGCTCCAGCCTGATTCTTGCGTTGGGTCATTTGCTGTCCTTTCCACACATAATGACATCCTCGCTTGTTGTGCAACATGTGGTACTACGGCCAGCACCATGGAGGAGACGACCTCTAGTAGCACTGCTGTGAATGAATGAATGAATGAATGAATGAGTCGTGATCCGTGCTGATGAAGACACTTGGCGCCACCTGGTGTTGATAAAAAATGACTGATACTGAAACGTTCAAGAATGTGATACTTTAATCAAGAATAATGGCATTCAGTCATATGTTCAGCCCATAACTCGTAATGCAGCGTACGCATTGCTGCGTTCTGCCCCCAGCTGCTATCAGGTTGCATTTCGCAGCAGCTCTTCTGATGTCTATCTGCAGATTTGAACTCTTTCCAGGTGTTAATGTATTCTGAACCTGTACCCTTCACTTCCATATGGGCCAACCAGTCTCCACCACAGCTGCTTCATTGCTATAAATAGCTTTCATACTGCTGACGTGATAGATGACTCATGCAGAGTCTCACTCCTCTCCCTGCATCCTAACACCGCTCCCTGGCACTGTCCCCTCATTTCAGCGACCTTAGTTCAGTGAGGGGGGGCTGACACCAGGGTGGGCTTCATTCTGTTTTAAAGCATTCGTCAAAGGAGGTGAAGGCCATACATGAAATTCAAAAGAAAAGGGCTGGAAAAAAAATACATTTGTGACATATTCACACTTTTGCGCAGTGCACCTCTCCACTCCAGTGCCACACCTTCAATCGCTCTCTCTGCCCCAGCTGGAGTCGTTGTTGTTGTTTTTTACCCAGGTCTCTCCTGATCTGTGATGTAATGCAAAATGCAGTTGCTGTTTTTTTGTTTTTTTTTTAAATAAGCTTAAAACTCTCTTGCATAATGTATGATTATGGCTGTGTCTCTTAAAGCACAAAATTTTGTACAAAATATTATATTTCCAAGTACAGTTAATTTATTATATATTATAATTCTGAACAACAATGAAATACACAGTTATGACACCTTGCTGTCAATTTAGACAATTTAAAGATCGCAAAAACAATAACACAATTATGCAAAAGAAGTGTCAAAAGTAATTTTTCTTCTTCTAAGGGACAGCACATTATATTATATTGATACTCAGTGTTTGTGTTGAAAAGCCAACAAACTACATGTTGTTCCAAAGAAGACAAAAAACGTCATTTCCACATCAGAGTCAAGTGAACACGGTGAGACTGACGTGTGACAAATTGTAAGCGTGTGCTTTGTGTTGTCTCGAACATGTTCAGTGTTTCTGAGTATTCAGAAATGTACAGCGTCCTTCAAATCACAGGAACTCAACAGCATCATATGATGAGTCAACACAGAAATCACTTTGACTTTTGCATCGATTACTTAAAAGTTAAAAACGTAGGTGTTTTCTGCTAGCGGTGTGCTGACCATCACAGAACAAACAGGCTCCAACACGAGGCTTTCCCAGTGACACAGGTGTCGCAAATAAGGACAGTCAGGTCAGAGGTAGCTGTGAACACAGAGGCCGTGCTGTCGTGTGTAAGTCAGAAGTCGGTAAGATCAATGGCTCGTGAAGATGTAGTGAGAAACATGTCTATTAACTGTGCTCAGGCTTCAAGCGATTTGGAAAGCAGCTGTTGAGAGAAGAGCCTCTTGAGATGGGCCACTTCCTGGGACAAACAGCTGATCTGAGACCTGAGACTGACGTCCTCTGTTGAATTCTTGGTGTCCCTGGAGTTCTGCGGAGAGGAGGACTTATAATGTGCAGCTGACGGACCCTGATACTGCTGCCCTGCTCCACCACAGGCCTCTTCCCTGGACCAAGGAGCCCGACTCTCTGTCCGATTGTCCCATCCCGCCTGCTGGTAGTTCCTCACCTGGATGTTTGGCCACACTGTGGCTACAGGTGGTCCACTGTGTCTGGTGTCAGATGATGGAGACATCTCCCCTCCATCGCTGCAACCAGCAGGCCCTTTGAAGCGGAGCTTATGTGGGAGGCTCCTCAAACCCTCAGGTGAGTATTGTCTGCTGACGTATTGACTCCCGTTGGCCTCCATGGGACAGATGTGAGAGTCGTAGCCCTGCTGCTCCTCCGTCAGCTCCCTCGGAGAAGGCCCACTACGCTCACTTAGTGCGTCATCAAAAAACACAGGGCTGCCCACATTTGAGCCACATGAGGTGGAGACACCGGACTCCTCGGATACACTATGAGTGGAAAGAGGCCTGCCTCCCCTCGGTTCATGGATGGCCCCTTGCTGTGGAGGGTGAGGGTGGATGTGATGGGTGCCGGGCGCTGTGTTGGGGTATGGGGGTCCATCAGTGTGAGGTTGGTAGAAATGTGTTGATCTTGGTGTTGGGTGAGCACAGAGGGGTGCAGGCAGCGGCAGGATGGAAACGTCAGATGAGTCTTTGACCAGGCCGAAGCGAAACTTCAGCGCCAACAGCTCGGCCCTCAGGCGGCCGTTCTCCTCCAGCAGGCCCATGACTCGCCTCTCTAGCACCATGTCATTGGCTCGCCTCTTCTCTCTGGACCGCTTGGCTGCCTCGTTGTTTTTTTTCCTCTTGTCCCAATAGCCATCATCTTTCTTCTCCACAGAGATGAACTCTCGTTTGCAGCGTGCATTGTTGCCGTTGTCTTCATTGCAGCTGCTACCAGCCTTCGCTTCAGCGTTGGCAAGGCTCTCTTTGTGTTTGAGGGCAAAGGTGTGACTCAGGAGGGTTTGGGCCAGCTGGCTTGTGGAAGTCAGGATGGAAACAGCCTCATCAGTGAAGGACACAGCCCTTCCCTGAGGCCTGGACTCCGGTCCCTCCACGGCCAGCAGTGAGGGCACTGACAGGTCCTGGATGATGCCTCCCACAGTCCGACCTGTCATGTTCAAACACTGATTTGACACTTGGGGGAGCTGTGAGTGTGTGAGGAACTTGCTGAGAGTTGGTGGTTCAGGGTAAAGTGTGCTGTAATGGTACCACCTAGTGGTGAAAGATGCAAAGGTTTACAAGGTAAACAGTAAAGCAACATTATACTGGTGCCGGTTGAAAGTTGTAATGTTTTTAACATCAGGAAAAGACATCATCGTTTTTTTTAAAAGCAAATATTGTATCAAAAACATACTTACAGGCATTACAGTGAGATAAAACTATATTAATATAGATTCATAAAAATAGTCTTATTTTGGTAATTTTATCCACATTTCAACAGGGAACGTTTATTATAATATGTTAGCAATTAAATGATCATTTAAAAAGTTCATAAAGAGAGAAAAAAGAACAAATGTGAAAGATACTAAATGTTTGTTAAAGTCGTTAAATTCGTAAAATTCTTGTTTAGGGTTTGATTATGGAGATTATTAGTTATTACTCTGAATTATTTGCTACCAATAACCATGACACGTTATTTACAATTAGTGTTATCGCTCCCAACATGTTTTCATTAAATAGATGACTGATGAGCCTGCTGTATTATTATTACATAAAGATAGTCTTCATCTCATCTGACATGTTTGTGCTCTTTCATCTGATATTAGATGATAACAAGTAGTCAACAAATAATTCAGAAACTTTCTTAGAATCTACTTAACTACATTACCTCACATGATAAAACAAAAAAAAAACTATGAAATGAGTGATAAATCTCGGGAAACATAAAGTAAATCTTACTTACAAAACAAACAGCTGCTGAACCTGTGATGAGAATCTCCTCATTCAGAGAGAGGAGGAGACATGTGGAGCTTCACAAGTCGCCGGAATGTTTCTGCTCCTCCACAGCTTTCTGTCGTTTCTTTCCCTGCTCATCGGTTCAGCCGGGGTCGGATCCTCACCCCGGATAACCCACCCCCACTCCTCCTCCTCCTCCTCCTCCTCCGAACGGGAAGCCAGCGGAGTCAAACCAGCGGTGACATGCAGCAGAATAAACAGCAACCAATCCGAGCAGCAACCAATCCTGACAGGTTGTTTGAAAAGTATTTTATGACTTTAATACAAACACAGTATTCAGTCAGTCGAAGGATGTGGAAACGAAAGTAGTTTGCCAAACTGTAAGGCAAATCAACAACAAGTAACTTTAGCTTTAGGATACTCAAAATTCAACAAGCAAAACAATGTGACTGAGATAAAGTATACTGGTCTGCTGCCGCTGCAGCTCTTTATCTGCCAGTAAACGTGTTATGTGTCAGATAATCAGCCAATCGACCCTAAGTGGCCTCTGGAATTTAAACTCAGCCACACTTGGGTTTACGCCAACTGGGCTACAACACATTTCATTGTAAAGTGACTGATAAAGAGATAGTGTTTAGCTAACCCTTGCTTTATCTGTGTATAGCAAATAATGCCACAAGTAGGCCATTGAATAGCGGCAAGTCGGTTTGAGGTCAGTTTTTATGTAATTAGTCAAAAAACAAAGAAATTATTAGAACAAAAATAAATGTACCTGACGATGGCGTGAGTGAAAACGTCTGGGTGTCAAAGTTAAAGTGATCATATAAAGTCTGTAACATGTTTGACTTAGTATAACTGAATACTGAATCAGACAAGAGTGTTCATGAATAAGGAACCAGGTGGCTTTTCCACCATCCACTGGCTGTGGGAGTTTGTTTGTCATTAACATTTTGATTTGTAGAGTCAGTTTTCTACTCTTATGAGCATAAAAACATGTATTTTTTTTGCGATTTTATACCGTAAAGATAATTTCTTACCCATTCAACACCTCATGTACTAACAGGCCTCTGTTTCTGTGTTAAATTAGATCATCCAGTTTGAACGTCCTGCGTATATAGCAGTCGTGGTGGCTTGAGTTGTAATATAGAACAAAGGATGTTTCATGTCACTCACTCAGAGACGGATGGCCTCACTGTGAAAGAACAAAAGAAGCTTATCACTGTTTTTACGGCACCTGTGAGTTAATCTATACATTTTACAACCATGTGTTGTAGATGAAGACCGTAAAGAGCCGCACTGAGAGAATGACTCATTTGAATACCAGTTGATAGTGTGAATGGAAAACAGTGCTGTTATGCAACACTCAGAGAGAGCGAGAGCATGTGAGGACTGTGCGTTGCTGGGAGTTCAGTTGGGGTGAGGTTGCTCAGAAAAAAGGAACATTGTTCTGTGAGCGATCTGCTCGACAGTGATCAGTACTTCCTCCCTGCACATGGAAAAGCTTCACACAGGACTCTCTGTCTCTGTCAATCGCACCAATTTCTCCAAAACAAGGCAAAAGTCAACTTCTCACTCATTAATTTATGCAGATCCTCTCTGGATCTGCATAAATGAATGTCACTGTTGACCTGTTTCTATTGGCTGGACGGTTTCAACATGTTGCTTCACGGCTCTGACATGCAGGAGTTTGCACAGACTCAGAGAAGAGCTTTTTGGGGAAATTCTGTGAAAGAAACCCTCTCCTGCTGTCCTGAGGTTCAGCTGAATGACCTGCCAACAAATTAGATCAAATGAAACATTTTGATTTTAGTTCCTACCGCCTGTTTTCAAGGGTACATTTTTTTGGGAAAGTATTTTCCCAGAAATGCTAGCAGCCGCCTGGACCATGGGGTCACACTGCACATATATATCCATCTTAAAAAGTCATGTTTTACACTAAACAAAAATATCTCTTCATGGATTAATCAAAGATTAGTTCATCAGTTTCAGTTGAACCTCTTCTGGATAAATGATCTGATGCTACGTAGACAGAAAGAAACAGGAATTGTGGGAGCAGAGAAGGAACAAGAAACGGTGAATCTGAAACATGTGATTGGTTGACGCCTCACAGCGTCATTGAAGTGCTGAAAACAGGTGAGGCCAGGTCAGCTTTGATTAGTAACATGTCCTGTAGCAACAAGTGTCGGGCGTCAGTTTGTAGCTTCACGTCACCGACTTCCTTTTAAAACGGATTGAGGTCTGCTGCTGAGTCATTCGTAGTGTGAACGTAGCGTAAGAGTCTGCAGCCATAGTGGAGCCTTGAGCTAAACGCTAACGTCAGCATTCCAACAAGCTCACACTAAGCTGGTATAATGTTTACCATGTTCCCTGTTTAACGTACCACAATGCTTATGTTTTCATATTAGCATGAAACTCTGTCTGTGAAGAAATATGAAGATAGAAATATGAAGAATAAAGGCCAGGTTAGAAGATAGGAGTGGTCTAAGCAAGGTTGCCAGAAATAGGGGGGTAGGAAGCTCCCCCCCACCCCCACCCCCACACACCCATGGTCTGATCTGGCATTGTGGCTCGTGTTGTCCCATGTCTCAAGTCAGCTTTGATTTAAAATGTACACCATCTAAGTGTAGTGGTGAGTCGCTGCTTTAAGGTGAAGGTTAGGGGCTAGTGGATGTATTATATCAACAAGGGAACTCATAAGTACAGATGTACACATGTGTGTGCATGTGCCTTCATGTGTACCTGAAGCTTCATTAGAAAAGAAGTGACTGACTGCCTGAGCCTGGAGGGGACACTGACCTCTTCTGACTCTGTGTGTGTACGCTCAAGTTCAAATCAGGTTAATCAGCCCCCCCCCTCTTTCCATCCTTCGATTCACTTGGACTCACAGTCCCTCTCTGCGGCAGCTTTCACCACTAATCCTCATTCTGCTTCTGGCCATCAGACCAAGACTCCCGTTATGTGAGGTTGTGTAATCGCAAACAACCAGCACGGTCAAAAACTACACACACCGACACAAAGTTACTACACATTGCATTAGCTTAGTGATGACTTTCTTAGGAGTGAGAACAGACACTGACTCTGCTGGACGAGTTTATCTGCATTTAGAAATCATCACCTCTGCTGCCACATGAAGGGTTGTCGGTGTGGATCTGTCCATGAATGTGTCTGCTGTGTCAAAGATGTCCCGGCTTTTTCTCAGTAACACTGTTGTTCTGCTGACGTTGCACAGCGTTGCCAAACACTGGATGTTACAGTGTGTCTGTGCCTGTAGGAAGAGGAAACAATACAATGTTTGAAGGAACTTGAATAGCAATGTTTGTATAGATTTGACAATAAAGTTTATAGCTGACAGTGGGGTTTCTTTGCCTTTAAAATATTTCATTACTGTTTAAATTCAGAGGCTTACAATACTACAGACATGTTTTTTAAGAGATGAATGTATTTTCTCTGCAGTGTGCACAGATTATCTCCACACATAAAGATCCATTCTTCTGCATTTCTCCACAGAGGAAAACAAAAGAGAGGGAATCTTACTGCACATCTGTCCCCACAAACCTTCCTTTAGCTAATTCAGCTATTATGTTTTTCCATGTTGATGAATCGTGTTTCTCCCCACTGAATATGATGCTTCTATTGTATAAAACAATCAAATTAAGTGTTTTTCTTTTCATATTTTGTCAGAAAAACATAGCTAAGAAGAAGAAACCCAGTGCATGAAAACACATCACATTGTTGGAATTGTTCGTAGCACATGGTATTCAGAGTTTAAGCCCTGGCCCGGTCGCAAAGATTACAATGACATGTTCCACCTTTGACCTGTTTAGCTGCTCGAGCAAAAAGGAAAACTCAAAAACTCAACAGAGCTAAATAATTCATGACTTCACTGCTTGTTCTGCAAACTGTTTACGCTTGAGTATTGCCATGCATAATGATTGCATAATAGCCTCTCGAGAAGTATAACATGATGTAAATAGGGAAGGAGGAACTAGAAAGTGGAAGTAGAAAGAGTTTGTTTGTTCTTTTCGGAGCACTACAGGTCAGAACTCTGCCTCTGTCCTCGTGTCAACTCTGAATCACTTACTCTTGAACGCTGCGCTGAAATAAACTCACACTGCAGTGAAGTGCTGTGGATTTATCTGCTGATGTGAAATATCTTGAGCACAGTCTCAGTGGAGAACAGATTATTAACGGCCAATGAGTATATCTGCAGCACTAGAATTATCAGGATCACTTCATCTGTGTATATTTGGCACTACTGTGTTGGTGATGTGCATGCGCTGTGTGGGCTCACCTCCCCACTCGTCTGCTATCGGGCCATCTTGGATGAGCAGGTTGAAGAAGCCAATCACAGCCTTGAGAGTGCACAAAAGAGGGAACTTAGACCGGAGCTTATTGCTGTTCCACATAAAGATGAATCACTACACCTCCTGTTTGTCCCTGTCTACGTTTGGGCCAAGTAGGAATAAATCAATTAAACCATATAACCTGCTACGACCATTTTAAATCGATTGCAGTAAAACCTGATTCTTAAAGGGACACTCCAGCAATATGAGTGTTGCGTGGTCAGAACGTTGAGGAACGTGTAAAACTTTTACAACAGACAACACACTTTGGAAAGTTCCCTCCAGAGTTTTACAGGCTGAACAACACTCTCTATGATGAGTCACTGTACTTAATGTGTAAAATCAGTGCCCCTTTAAAGCCGATATACTTTGTGTTTAAAACGAGTGTGTGCTCTCCAAAGTATGTCTTATACACAAAAGGTAACTCTGACCACAATAAGCAGTTTCCTTTTGTATACTCTATGGAATGTGATTGACACATTTCACTTGACAGGTTTTGTGCCACTGCAATGACTGTTGATGGAGATACTACACCTTGGATCAAGCTGGATGTAAACAACACTCAAAGAAAGTGACCTATGTTTGTTCTAACTATGTGTACAAGCACATGCAGACTCATTTCAGTGTTAATGTTGGTCAATGAGTGGGTAACTGTGTTTGCTTCTCTGTGTTTGTCGTTCCTGAGGGTACACATGTCTGTGGAAGTGTACGCGAGAGAGAAGGAGCTCCATAATGTGGAGACGACCTCCTTCATCTGACCTAATCTGGATCAGTGAGTGCTGAGTTACATAAGCAAATTCTCATCCTGACCTCACCCAGATTAGACACTGCAGACCAACTGCCAACATCCTGCTGAAGCCAGCCTGCAGGCTTTAAGGCCGATACGACAACAGAGGACTGCCACCTAGAGGCCGCAGGCTGACATTACCTGTGGGAATGACTCGGATGAAAGGGTCAAAACTCTAATCATGTTCCAGATGTGTTCTGTGGATTCATATTTCATCCTGCGTCACGCAGGACAGATACATGTTTTTGTAAAGCTCTCGAAATGTTGAGTAAATGAAATCATGGTAATGTAATAGTTAAGATCAGCTGTCTGAATAAATCATGTCACACTCCGAGCATTACAGCATTAGAGGTCTTTATTAGAATGATGGCAATGCAAACAATGATTAAATGACATTAGAGCACTCCTTTAATAAAAATAATAATCACTGTACAATAATATAGTAGCCTATCTTCTGTTGATATAAAATATTACTTATAATAAATATGTTGCGTGCATGTTTAGATGATACAAACAACTGATAAAGATGCTGATTATTTACAGTTTTAAATTCTACCGGATGCGAGACATAAAAGCAGATAATATGTTTTTCTTAACTAAAAAAACCCCAAACAGACAAACATAAAGTTAGGTGAGGAAAATGCATAATGTTGGATTTACTGTACAATCACATGGTTTAACATATACTTTATGGTTTGTTTGTTTGTGTTACAATCAATATTACAATCAATAAAAGTTCGAAGGGAAATCAGAAAAAGAAATCAGATCATCTCAGCATTATGCAGCTATTGTTACTGAGTCTTTGTTCAGCGAACCATGAGATGCTCCAGGACACACTACTGTGTATTGTGTTATAACCCGTATTACACACATGTTTGCCAGGTCTTCTGTTAGTGTTAATGTTTGCCGTCTACACGCCCACAGTGTGTACAGTGTATTTCTCTGGTTCTGCTCCATCGACTTTGATACTTTTTCTTAAGTTCCACAATGTTATAGGAGTTCATCGCTATCAGCTGAGGACTCTTTTAAAAGTCATTGGTTAGAGAAATACTTCACCCACAAAATGACCGTTAGAATATCAATTACTCACACCGTCTTACCTTGAACTGTTGACGAAAACTTTATTTGTCTTGCATGCTTCCATGGTGAACAAAAATTGAAAAAACGGAGAAAGGTCTTGATGAATTGATGTATTTAATGAGTGAAGAGTAATCCAAGTCGTATGCTCACTACTTCCCAAACACTTGCAACTATTTAAATATTTAATAAACAGTCTTACACTTTTGGTTTTAGCCTAAATGCATGTATTTGGGTTGTACTGAGCATACGACTTATACTACATTACACTGCACACGTTGTGTGAGGCATGCAAGAGAAACTATGTTTTCTTCAAGAATTCAAGTTAACGCAGGGTGAAGAAGTGACACACAAATCAATCTGTGGGTGAAGTATTTCTTTAAGCCGTCATTACCTGATGGTTGGTCACTCTTGAATCAATAATTGTATTAAAAGAAGAAAGAATTGAATATGTGGAAGGCTTCTGAATTAGATTTGTCTCATTTGTCGTCTGAAGTAAACTGAAAACTCTCAACCGAATCAAACAACTCCCGTTAGGCCGCGTGTACACAGTGGTTTGTGATGCCATGCTATTGCTGGTGGTGTTGTCAGTTCTCATGGTGCAAGTCTACATGTGGGCCTCTGTTCTTAACAAGACAGATCATCAAGTGCAGATATCAAGGTAATACTGGGAACATGTTCAGTGAATATCTTAAGGTCACTTAATCCCAAATTCAACTGTTCAGTGTACTGATGTGAGTCGTAAATTCAAACTTCAAAGAATATCCAAATCATCATTCTACCTTTTGATTTCTTGGTTTAAATGGCAGATGTGTGTGTGTATGTGTATGTGTGTGTGTGTGTGTGTGTGTGTGTGTGTGTGTGTGTGTGTATGCGTGCGTGCGTGCGTGCGTGCGTGCGTGCGCATCAGGCGTGTCTCTTCATGTGCAGAGCCAGGTGGTCGGAGCGGGAGAAGGCCCTCAGACACAGCCGACACTCGTAGGGTTTTTGGCCCGTGTGCTTGCGGTAGTGACGCGTCAGCTCATCTGAGCGGGCAAATTTCCAGTTGCAGCCCTCCCATGAACATTGGTAAGGCTTTTCCCCTGAAGAGTACACAATAAAATAGGTGATACTTAACAAACAAATACGTCAAATCATATATCGGGACTTATTCTGACAGACTTTTGAGTCGTTTTTGTGGCAGAGTCAATGTGGCGTACCTGTGTGGGTGCGGAGGTGAGCCTTGAGGTGTGAGCTCTTGGTGTAGGTCTTGCTGCAGCCCGGGTATTCACATCTGTGGATGGCGGCCCTCTTTTTCCCTGTCGCCCTTCGACCACGCTTCCCCTCCATCCCACCAGGGGGCAGCTGTGGAACAACCAGCATGGACTGCTGGTGAAGAGGCAGATGCCTAGTGGTCTGGCTGTGGGGGTATTCACAGAAACGGTTGGCGTTGTGGTTAAAGTGTGGCATGTAGCTGTAGTGTCTAGGGTCAGGGGTCACAGCTTGAGGCGGTATGAGCCTGCTGTCGGGGAAGGTCACCATGGAGGGGTGTTGCTGGGGATAGTAAGGGTTAAAGTCCCACGATGAGACTTTAGTGAGGTTTCCTCTGCTCTGCCTCTCGTAACTGCCTCCTTGAGGGAAGCCAAACTGATCTGCATTCGGTAGATTGGGAAATGAAGTCCGACCTGTTTGGTCGTCTTTATAACTATGGTGGTACAGCTCTGGCTGGACTGGCGTTGTGGTTTCAGCTGGGGACAGGAACTCCGCCATGAGGCAACCAGTGTTCATCTGCACATGCTCTTGTCCGGGTTGGTCCTTAAACAGGTCCGCCTCTTGGTATGCTGTGCTTGGGTCTAACTGTGGGAGCCGTTGATCATTGTTGTCCAGAGATGGGTTGAGGTCGGGTGATGGGCTGCTCCAATCAGACAGCAGGAACTCAATGTCCCAGGATGCCCGGCTGTCATCATCCAGGAGCTCCTCTGTCATCTGTTGAGAGACCTGCAGCTGCTCAGAGCTGCTTGGTGATGGTTTGTAGTCCAGAAGGAGAGAGTCAGCCTCAGACTTCCACACCTAGACGGTGTTGGAGAGCGTTGAGAAGTGATGATCACCAAGCAAAACATTTTGTGAAAAGGAGATTGCTCCACTTTGCTTTTAAAGTTAAAGGAGGGACGCACCCATCTGACTTTTTCTGTCCCCATACCGATTCTTATCTGTCTGCCTCACTGTGCGGAGGGAACAGGGATCATTGTGTTATGTGTAAGGCACAAACATTTTTCTCCTAACTTTGTAAGACAACATGTAATAAATATATACATTGATAAAAACACATTGAAAGAGTTACTGGTTACTGTAGTTGTTATTTCTGTCCATACTGGTTGTTTAGAGATCAGCTGAAGCTACTATGAAGCTGGAGCAGTCTGTCTTAATCTGTCAATCCTCAAGTGTTTATCTTCCAAATGTAGTTTTTAGTACAAAATTACGACTTTGCGTTATAATCCCTCCGCTGTGGCTCAGCAGGGAAACACTGGAAACACATTGTGGGAATATTGTACTAACTTCAAACGATATATAGGGAAAAGGGAAAATCTATGCGGCCAGGGTGTACAGCACAGTCAGCAATAACTCTTACCGTACGCATGGGCATGTCAGATATGCAGAGCTTCACTACATTGCATTTTTTTTTACATCAGCAGATGTTTTTGATCTATTACGACTTACAATAAGTGCATTCAACCACCATATTTGTCGACTAAGTGGATAGCAGGGCCGTCCTTCAATCAGAGGGTCGGCGGTTCAATCCCCGGCTCTGGCTCTGCTAGTCGCATGTCGATGTGTCCTTGAGCAAGACACTTAACCCCAAAATTGCTCCCGTAGCTGTGCCTACGGTGTAGAAATGTGATAGAATCTGAATTGTAAGTCGCTTTGGATAAATGCTAAATGACTGTAATGTAATGTCTCCAGTTATTTGAGAGACATCAAAAGCTCAGCGTTATAGTGCAAGACTGACACATTTGTCAAGTAAATATGAAGTGAAATCATTGATAATCTATCTGCGGAATGTACAAATGATCAGCACAATGATGTACAATAGGAGGCTTCACTGTGTAGGAATCAAAGAACTGGTGTCAACCTGATACTTACTTTCATATTGTCACTGGATGGAGCGAGGTTGGAGAAGGAGCTGAAGGAAGGGAGCGCAGCCTGTGTAACGGCCATCAAGCACTGTGATAGGATGCTGATTGTCAGTGGCAGCAACTGAAGTGTAATTTCTCTCTTTTCTTTCTTTTTAGTCTTCACATGACCGTCTGAAGCTCAGCTAACAGAAAGTCAAAGCCCGGCTCAGCAGGCTACTCATCCCAGTTACAGTCCGCTCAGCGCGACAAGGCCGCAGTAACAGGTTCTTACAGCTGCCCCCTTTTCTCCATTCCTCCCCTGCTATCTCTCCCTCCTCTCTCTTGTCTATCTCTGTCAGCTGCAAGTCTAACTGCAAATCTCTCCTTTTCATGTAGGTTTTGACCGTTAAGAGGTGGAGCGTAAGCATGGCTTTCTTTGCTGGCTCCCCCTTTTTTTAGTCCATTAAGGTTGTTAAAATATCAATCACTAAGAAAGTGACTGTACTACCTCACCTGAACTCACCTGAACTCACCTGAACTCACCGTCTTCCTGTTCTGTGGGATTCAAAGCAAAAAGTAAACTGATGAGCGCCGAGCTGTCACCATTCTTGAACCCAGACCAATAGATATTATGTCACAATAGAAAATGACATAATAATGAGAATTCATGAGGAATAATTGTGTTTTATTCTAAATAAATTGCAAATAATGATTGCTGTGATTTTAATGTCCTCACTATACAGTTACTGTATATCTACCGTCCAGAAGACAACACAAAACAATCAGCAAGTTTATTTGTATTGCACCTTTCACACATGGAGGCAATTTAAAGCGTTTAATATATGGAAAGAAAAAAAAAGAAAAAACACATTTATAACAGAATAAAATGAGATAAATTGAATAGAGCAAAATAAAAAATACAATGCACAGAAAACAATCATTGAGCAGATTACAGGTATAGTGCGGTTACGGTTTCCCCACATTCATAGATGTCTGACACGAACGAGCCAATGAGAACTCTTCTGAGACAAAACACGGTCTGAGTGTTACATTGCTTATAAAATAGACCAAAAAGAGTGAAAAACAGAAACTTGACTTGTTATTCCTTGATGATTAAACAAGAAATGAAAAACAATAATCGATCAAATATTTCTGAAGATCGGAAAAAACGAAATATATCAGGATATGCCAAAGATTTATTACAAGTCATACAAATATACATATAATATAAATAAAATAACAGTATAAATGTCTACAAAATGTACGAGAAGTTTTCTAAAATGCTGCTAAACGTCGCCCCTCAAACTGCAGTGAAGGTCTGATGCTATCAGATGTCAGTCACTATCTCATGAAGCATGCTTCGGCACAGAGGGCGGACTGTGCTGGTGCATGCACAGTGAAGTGTGAGCACGTTTCATGTTAACATCGAGTATAAACCGATTATAATAACATGTTTGCATAGATATTATGTTCCACCACATACAGGTCTCAGTAGAATTGTCTCTGATATTTTATTACAGAGTTTTACGGACATTCAACCTTAAAACATGATACAATCAAATATTAGTGAATAATAGTCAACAGATTAGCAGGTAGCTCGTAAACAAACATACCAACTAGCAATACAGCTCATGATTCAGTTTAAGTTTGCAATTAAATAAAAACCTCATCCCACTTGTTGAGCCCATACTTCTACTAGTTTTAACTCACTCCACACACACACACACACACATGGTCGCTCTCTGTGAGGACATCTGGCTCTGACTTCTGAGAAGACCTGTTTGTGAAAGGTGATTATGTTCTTGCTGCTGTTTATCTGCTGACATGAGGCAGAGGCAGGCTGCTGTCTCCTCACAGATAATGGTCTCCTGACTGCTGGTGGTCCCTGATGACGAGCCCGCCACTGATAAAGACTCTCCCTCAGAGCGAAGACTACACAAGACGTCCCCTACGCAGGCTGGAGAGTGTGCTGACAGCCTCACTGTGGCCTTAAACACATTACACAACTTCATCCATAGTTTGATTGATTGATTGATTGGAGGAGAGTTCACTTCCAAAGCCTTAGATTAACGTGTTACATGTTGTCTTACAGAAAGACACTAAAGGAAGAAGACATAACGTGTGCTTTATGTAGACTGACATATGTCATTTAGTATTATTATTTAAATACCAAACAAATATATACCCTAAATGCTTGTAAAATAATTTGGACTACATGAAATAAAACATGAAATAATTGAGATCTTTCTGCAAACAGCCTCCCACATCAACACGAGGGACTTGGATCACGTTTCTCTACATTGAACGTCTGTTTTATTCTATTTTAGTGTGACCGCCTTCTTTCCATTCACAAACTCTTTTAATCTTTCTCTTGATGCTCCTTTTGGGTCCAGTGATGTGATATGTGTAATGACAAAAAACATTTATGAAGTATAGAGAAACATTACAGTAGTATTAATAGTGCATTTTGTTTTTCAGTTAACAATATGTTTCATATCTTAACATCATGTCATAGAAAAGTCAAGAAATCAATAATAAGAATTGTAGAAAAAATCAATCAAATAGAGAATAGGAGGCGTAGAAAGATAATCTTTAATTATATATATATATATATTTAATGAGCCACGGTGTAGTTAGAACAGAGAAGTGTTGAGTTGCTGCTGAACTGATGTCAATGAGGAGGTCAGGGTTCAGCAAAAATAATAAAAACTATTACTTTGATTTACATTTTCTTAACTAGGTTACAAAGTCTGTTTCAGAAAAAAGGCAGATGAAATCAAAAACAACAATTAATCAACAACAGAATAAAATCTGATCTCAGTGAGTTGAGCGTTCAGTCTGATGAGTGAACTGTGAGTCTGTCACCAGCAAGTGTTGGGAAGACGTTTGGTTTCATAGGGGTGACTGTGGCTAAGTGGATAGCAGGCCCGGCGGTTCAGAGGGTCGGCGGTTCAATCCCCGGCTCTGCTAGTCGCATGTCGATGTGTCCTTGAGCAAGACACTTAACCCCAAAATTGCTCCCGTAGACACGGTGTAGAAATGTGATAGACTGAATTGTAAGTCGCTTTGGATAAATGACTGTAACGTTTCTCCAGAAACCTTTGAGTGCACGTGATGTGATAAAGATCCTCAGGTATTTGATCCTCAGGTGGGGCAATACATTTTGCTTACGTGGTGAATTTTGAGGTTTAATCCGCACTGAAAAGATCAAATAAATAAAGAGAGGTCTACGTGCGCGTGGCATGGAGCAAGGTGCCACGGCTGGATTTGAACCCTCACTTTTGAGAGGACAGCAGTGTCCAGACCTTAAACTGTTAATCTTACCAACCAGTGCTCAGTCAGAGGACTACCGCAGCAGCCACGAGAACCGGAAGTAGTTTATCTGGTTAATAATGTAAACGAAGAACAAAACCATGGTCGCGTGCATATGAAATCACCATTTTCAAAGATCACGCATTACAAGTTTTTACCGATGTTGTTTTTTTTACAGTGCACGTGGTTGTACGTCACCCCACGTGGTGGCGCTATACGAAGGGTCCCCGGAAGTGCTTGTTGCTATAGCAACATAAGTGTTGCGACGTGCGATAAGAGAAGAAGAGTGTGAGCGAGTTATCTCTAGTCCTTGTTCAGTTAAGTTGTGTCCTTTCTTTTCACATGTAACGTTGGACCCTTCGGACCATTTGCACACAATTTAGGTCATTTAGGTTTGAGCTACATTGCGCTATTTCAATTGAATTTACTTATTTGTTGAATCTTTGATGTATCGACAGTGTTATAAACAATATGCTCAGACCATCAATGTCAAATGCTGCTGAGTCAGAGCTTGGTGAATAACAGCGATGCAGCTACATTCAGCCCCAGAGATTGCTGATGATGTGTGTGTGTGTGTGTTTGCAGATGGAGGCTTCCTCACAGAGTAGAGGTGGTGATGGAGGACTGTGGAACAACCCCAGAGCCCCCCAGTACAGCAAGGGAACACAGGATATGCTGACATGTGAGATGATGCACTTGTTGCTATTTTAGTGTGGCTGGTTAGGTGTGAATGGGAAACAAACATGGGAGTTAATGCGTTGTGTGTATTTCCAGGTACATACAAGTGTGTGTGTGTGTGTGTGTGTGTGTACACTTTCTGTGTAGGCTAGTGCTTTAAACATTTTATAAATCTCTCTCCTCGAGCTCAGTGAGGATGCAGGAAGCAAGACTCACCAACCTCCAGAGAAAACAGATCAACGGACGCCTGAAGAGTAAGTTTGAGAGCCTTGGATGAGAGGTTGAGGGATGCAATGTGGTGGTAAACTGTGTGGAAGTACTGCGTGATATACAGTACGAAGTGTTTCCCACATATTGTTACTGCAAAACTCAGCATGACATATTGCTAGAAATCCAGATTACATCATATCGTGATTCAAAGATAATATGATAATGTGGTATTTTCTGAATCTTTTAGCATCACAAAATTGTGTATTGCCACATAAAACACTTATTTAATGTTTTTTACTTTCTCCTCGGACGGAGCAGCTTTACCACTGACCTCTGACCCCACATCCTCAGCTTCCCCCACTAATCCTCAGAGACGCACCGCTGAAGCCTGTCGCTCTGGGAACAGCTACGTCAGAGAACAGTACCACCCTGGTCCCTGGAGTGCGTTCTTTAAGCTGACACTGTTATTAATTTCGACATTCATGTGTTTTTGACTGACCGGCCTGTATTGACAACAATTTCTCCTTGTAACTCGTTTCTTGTGTTTCACGTTCCTAGGAGACTTGGAGAAAGAGAAGAGGAGGCTTCAGAATATAATGTCAACGGGAGAAGAAGAGCCCACAGCTGCATCTCACCCAAATGTTCCTTCATGTCCGAACCCAGAGGGGGCGGAGCCTCTAGACCGGTATCAGGAAGGTGAGGCTGAGTACACACACACACACACAGGTGATGTACGAGAGTTACACTTTAGATGAAGAGAAGCTTTTCCATCCCAGTCAGCGACCTCGGTGGAGTCAATGTGCCTACTACTGTCCACCAGGGGGCGACTCCTCTGGTTGTATAGAAGTCTATGAGAAAATGACTCTACTTCTCTCTTGATTTATTACCTCAGTAAACATTGTAAACATGAGTTTATGGTCTCAATCTCTAGTTTCAAGTCTTCTTCAATACAGCATGATGTTCATTTAGTACATTATGGTCCATTTAGAGTCAAACAGACCATAAAGCAGGGGATGCTTTAGGGCAGGGCTTACTGTGATTGACAGGTCTCTACCAGAGACGTATACGGTGTGTCTACGTCACTCCTCAGTCCAAATATGGTCACTTCCTGTTACCTGTGTATGTCTGGTCATTGGTAGGAACTGATGGGCGATTTTATTCCTGTGCAAATCTGCCGTGTCTCTAATTCGTGAAGGAAACCTCCCGCTGCTGATGAAACTAATCCCCGGGGACTCAAACTCTAATTTCAGATGTAGTTTGTTTTTTGCCCGTGAAATTCTTTTTTTCACATTTTAATTAAGTTATTGCAGTCATATTGATAATCTGTTTCTATTAATATCAGCCTAAATTAAATGCTGCTCCGTGCTACTTTGCTTGACTAAATACATCCAGTGCCTCTTGAACAAGTCCAATATGAACTTGTTTCTTTTGTAGTACTGGATGAGATAGAGGAGAGAAGACAGTTTCTGGCAGATATGTCTTCTCTGGGTGAGGAGAAGCAGTACACCAACATCATCAACTCTGAGATATCCCAGGTAAACAAACTCCTATTAAGTCTGCATTATGGCCAAATATCGTTAGGTAACACAGACGTTTTAACTTCCCTGATGTGTTGTTTAGTGTGATGTTGTTTTGAACAATATAAGATCTATAGATCCTGACTCAGATTAGTGCGGAAGTAAATAGATCATTAGTGCCAGGCTGTATTCCAGCATTTAGATTCAGATATCAGACCAAAACAACACTATTAATTCTCTTTGAAAGTGCAATTTCACTTAAACTGATGCTGTGTCACGACTCCAATAACAGCTGATTCGAGAACTGAAGCTGTTGGACGAGGCCCGCCGTCCCAAGAACGATGCAATCACATCTGAGAGGAAAAAGGTATGACGGGTTGGTCGGGAGAGAACCCTGATGTCCAAAGCTGAGTAAAGCCCAGGTCTGCTGTAGACCCTGGTGTCAGCTCACCATCCGACACTTTCTCTGTCAAACTAAAGTCAGCAAATCTATTGAAAAGATGATCTCGTCTTTAGAATATAGTACGGCCAAGAAAGTCAAAGTATAGTAAGTTAAAAAAGTCATTAAAAAGTTTATAGTATAGTTAGTGAGTTCAAAGTAAAGTTTGAACTGTAGTGAATAACAGCGATGCAGCTACATTCAGCCCCAGAGATTGCTGATGATGTGTGTGTTTGCAGATGGAGGCTTCCTCACAGAGTAGAGGTGGTGATGGAGGACTGTGGAACAACCCCAGAGCCCCCCAGTACAGCAAGGGAACACAGGATATGCTGACATGTGAGATGATGCACTTGTTGCTATTTTAATGTGATAAAGTGTTTCCCACATATTACTGCAAAACTCAGCGTGACATACTGCTAGAAATCCAGATTATATCATATCGTGATTCAAAGATATGATTGGGTGCTCTTGTATTTCCTGAATCATTTAGCATAAAACACTTAATGTGTTTTACTTTCTCCTCAGACGGAGCAGCTTCACCACTGACCTCTGACCCCGCATCCTCAGCTTCCCCCACTAATCCTAAAACCACTAAATCTGTCCAGGATCGTCTGCCTCAGAGACGCACCGCTGAAGCCTGTCGCTCTGGGAACAGCTACGCCAGAGAACAGTTCCACGCCGGTCCCTCGAGTGTGTTCTTCAAGCCGACACTGTTCTTCATGTGTTCTGACAACTATTTCTCCTTTTAACTCATTTCTTGTGTTTCACGTTCCTAGGAGACTTGGAGAAGGAGAAGAGGAGGCTTCAGAGTATAATGTCAACGGCAGAAGAATCTGAGACTTCAGAGTCAGGTTGTGGGCGGGGTTTAGTGTGACGTAATGAGAGCAGTAGTGATGAAGAGACTGAAGAGCTCACAGCTGACTGGCTGCACTGTATAAGCATATAAGCAGTTACATAAAACAATATAAAGTCAAAACTGTGATGTCAGGCTGTGAAGGCATTTGATTTATAAGAAACATGAACAGCTTGCATTCAATTATTATAATCCTCCGCCTTCCAGTGTCAGTTTGTTTCCTGCTTCAGGACATGGAGACAGACACAGACATGACCATTTAAAATGGAGGACAAAGACAGAAACTGATAAAACCGTAAACATACTGACATTTACATAAGACGAACAAATGACACTTATCCACATATGTAATTAAATAAATGGCACTCGTACAAACAATATTAACACATTTTTTCCGATACTGTTAAGGCAAAACATGGAAACATACAGAAAGGCGTCGTAAAATATAAATTAGTGATTTGCATATTCAGGTTAAAACTGTTATAAGCTGGTGCTTCGCTACAGTTGTTAAAATACAGTTTATCTGCCTTTTCTAATGTTCATTATTGTGAACTTTCTTATTAATAAACCTTCTGACATCTGCTCTTCTTCATGCCTCATATTTTCTAAATCAATCTGATTTTGAGTCTCCCACTTTGTTCATCCACGTCTTTCATGATATGCATTTACAAAAAAAGACGCCATTGCAAAACTATCACAGCAGAAAGTTAACAAGGAAACCAAAGACGATCACAACAGAGCAGCTAGAAGAGCTTCGGTATTCATTGTCCATCGAGCATTTTAAGGGCAGAATTGGCTAGATTTAAAGCAGAGCTCATCTTAAATCGTTTTTAAACTTTCACTCGTACCACAGGCTCAAACCCGCTCACATATCCAGCTGCTAGACTTTGGAAGCAGGAGACACAGTTATAAGACGGGAACAGATTACAAACTCGTATCAGGGATCCACTCGCATCCAACTGACCTCATTCAAAGTGAACCGTCGAGTCGCACCTTTGCTGAACCTGGACACGGGCCTACAGGACACACAAGCTCTGCAACGCAAGGACGGTGAAGCAACATACAACAGTTCACCCGAATGAAAGGCCAGAGAGCTCACGAGCACGTCCGCTCCTAAAGCATCGCGACATGTTGAATCGTCTCTTTAAAACACTAAAGGCAACCGAGAGGTCACTGAAGAGACTTTCTGGAGAAGCGTCAAGTGAGATGTGAGCGGATTCTGGTTATTCAGAGTCATTAATGACAGTTAAAGGTGACCTCATCTCATCCTCTTGATCTGGTGTGTTTATATTCGTCTTGGGGCTCGTGTCCACAGAGCGGCCGCAGGGCGCTGGGGAGCGTTTCAATGAAGACGTTATTGTCTATTTGGTCTGCTGTATATTTGTTTTACATTGTTTTGCCCCATGAGGATGTCTACTTTATACTTCGTATTGATGAGCGTGTCTCCATGTTACGTAACGTTAGAGCAAGGCGACACGAGGCGTACAGTAATAAAAGCACAACACTTTGCCAATCTGCTCCTAAACGGGCTTTTGGGTCTTTGTTATGATAGTGAGAGTCTGATATATAAAGCTCAGGATAGACAGACAACAAGCTTCCCCTCCATTCACTACAGTAAGGTCATGAGGGCTTTTCTGAAAAGTTCAGAGGTTTTCAACTTGAAGCTCTCGGAGCGGTCGCACAGAAAAAAGAGACGTCTTTCCTGTAGGTGGCCGCATCACACGCTCCCTCCTCATTCAGAACAATTAAAAAAAATAAATTAAAAAAAAGCCGCTGCCGCTCAGAAAAAGGCATGATGTGGACACCGTCGTTAAAACCGTCTGGTATGCTCTCGGAGGAGGTTGGTTCTTGCTATGGGGTCTTCTCCTTGCGGGGGCTGTGGCTCTTGCCTGGTTCTCCTTTATGGCTCAGACGCTTGAGCACCTTGATGGGTTTGAACTTTTTCCCTTTTTTCTTCTGCTGGTCGACGTCCGGATCCTTATGGAAGTCTGACGAGGATGAAAATAAGACAGAAAATTACGAAGATTCACATAGTTTCTAAAAATCAGAAGAATGAAGAAGGAAACATTTAGTTTTTATGTTAAATGAATGAATCTTTAACTACAAATGGAGCTCACTCTAAATCCTACCTTTCTTCTTCAGCATGGCTTCCATAAGTTTATCCTCCTCTTCTTCCCTGTGACAGAAGGACCATTAGATTAACATCACTGATGAAGAACACTGTGGAGTCCCTGCAGAGAGACACAGTTCATTGGCATTGGTTACCTCTGCCTGTCCTGGTCCATGTTGTTAACTATTTGGTTGCGCTGTTCAATGATGGTAACCAGCTCAGCCATCAGCTCCTGATCCCGGCCTTTGTCCTCCTCTGTCCAGTCTTTCTCTGGGGAAGGAAGGGATCACAGCGACAGGTTTAATTCAACACACATACAAATGTCGTTTTTTTCTTCTTAACCTGTATATCCACACACATATCATACTTAAGTGTGGGTAGCAGTAATTTTCTTTGTAACATGAGTCAAGCATTACACACAAACACATACAGGGCAGACATTGGACCGGACTACAGGTTGTCTTATCATAACGGGGCAAAACACACCTGGTTTATTGAGAAGACACCTCAGCTCATACTCCACGTCAGCTTGTCTCTCTTCCAGGTTCTGCTGCTTCGCTCTGCAGGGAGCAACATGTACACAGTACTTTACACACTCGTAACCTTCAATTTAACACGGTACTTTTACACTTGTTATTGTAACAGCGACGATAAGGGATACTAGTACAGCACCGTGCCTGAGTAGCTTAACCGAATAAGTCTGCTGCATTTGCAAAAAGCTGGGTTTAGTATCCCTGAAAGCCTTCTCTGACCAACTAGCACCCAGCTCACAGAGACGTGAAGAAGCACATTAAAGGAACAGGGTGTGACATTTAGTGGCATCTAGTGGAGAGATCGCAACCAACCAGATAACGGGAAGTAATCTTCACTTCACCTGGAGGAGTAGAGGAGAAGCTGCAGCGTGATAATAAATCACACAAAGAGTGCAGATAAAAAGCACCAGTTTAGTCGGAGCTCATCAATACTCCGGTCTTATATTATTTAGCACCGGGGCCCGTTTAATACGGGGGTTTGGAATCCATCCCTAACTTCAGTTAACACAAAAGGCTCTCGCTAGAGTACAGTGTTCGGCTTCACCGCTCTGGGCTGCATTGAAACATGGCGGTGCCAGACGGCGGACTCCACGGAAGAGGACCCGCTCCCAATTACACACGCCGTGACACGCCGTGACACGCCGTGACACGCCGTAACACGCCGTGCGTATAAGTAAAGTAAAAACAACTAATCGGCATTGAAGGCTCATGATTCCTCGCTGCTGTCTCATACGTACGTGTAGACGAGCTCAGCTTCTCGTCGCACTAGAAGATGTTTCTCATGGATGAGAGTGAACCAGTCCACCAACAGGTGCTCCTCATCCTCATCTGGAAACAAAGAGGAGCACAGAGATAGACGTGTAATGTTTCTATCATCATGTAGAGTTCTTTCAAGTCAAATCTAGGGATATGGCCTTCCCCCTCTTTATGTCTCGGTGATCTTTTGTTTTGTTTTTTACAATCCTTTATAATAATTCTGTGAGCAATTTAAGCTACACCGTCAATTTAGTAAAGTTTTCAATTTAGAATATAGTGAACCTAACTTCATGCACTGCATCCTTTGCAACATGTAACTGGCCTTCAACTGATTTAACTTGTTCTCAACAAACTCCAGTAGAAATAGTGCGCCATGTTACCGTTGGGGTTGTCTCTCAGCTTCTTCTCCAGCTCCACTCCCCTCTGCTCCATCTCATCCAGCTGCTTCTCCAGCTGCCCCATCTCCCCATGGATGTCCTCTACTGGGATGTACTGGTCTGACTGCACCTGGATGGATCATTGGAGAACTTCTTCATGCATTTTCTATATATTTTTTCTCTCATGCCAAAGCAGACAGTATATGTTGTCTTTAGTTTTCTACCTTGCGTTTGATAAGAGGGAAGCCATGGCCGGGGGCCGGGGGTCTGGCAGGACGGGGGCCTTTTGGTGGTTTGGTTTTAGATTTAGCAGGGGAGGGAGAAGCTTTCCTGTTGAACGGGTTCTCTTTACAGATCCGCTACAATGAGAAGAGAGATAAAGCCGGAGTATAATGCAGAAAGTGTATTTCTGTCCATCGCTGTGTTTGGAGGTGGACCTATTACCTTATTGTGTGATTGGGGGGCTCCTGAGGCCAATGGACTGGGGGTCGTCGGGGGTCGTGGTGGAGGGTCTACGGCCCCTTTGGTCCCAAAGCTGCGACTGGGCTGCGGGGTAGCTGGAGCTGAGCTGGCATTTGACGGCATGGGAGAAGGGTAGGGGCTCAGGGAAGGATGAGGCAGACGCTCGGTTGAGGAGGAGGAAGGAGACGGCGTAGAGTCGCACGGTGAACAGATGGAAGGCTCCGACACACTTTTGGTGAAGGCGTGTTCCTGGTCGCTGCTGGCACTGCCACCCAACTGGGGATGGGAGGAGCTGCGGTCAGAGCCAGAGGACAGACTCTCTGTGCTGAGAGCTGGAGAGGGAGAGCAAGAGGAGGGCTGAGAGTGAGAGAGAACTGAAGACGGTTTAGTAAAAACCAGAGAATGGAAGTTGAGACAGATAGAGATATAGAGGGAATGGGGAAAAGAACAAAAAACAATGAACATCTATATAAAAGTGCCAAGATACAATTTAAATGTGTGTTTGAATACATATTGAATAAGCTGTTCAAGAATCAGATGATCAGGATTTAGAGCTCTTAACATTTGTAAACGGAGCATCAAAGTTAAAAGGTGTGTTTTGTCTCGTAGTTACTAAATGTAAGTTTAGGTTAACAAGCTCTTTGTAGGTGTGACATTAAGCATCTGTGTTTAACACGAGGACATGTCAGTGAGGAAGACAAAGTGGCACCGACGGTAAACTACGGTGAGGATGAAGATCTGATACAGAAAATATAATGAGATACAAAACAACAGTTTGGTCATGAAGCGTGAACACAATGAGGAACTCTGAAGGTCGGGGAAATTGCAGCACAACAGATTAAGAACAATAAACCGTCATAAACCTGAGCTCTAAAAACTACGTCTACAAAAGAAATATCTCGTTGGCTCAAACAGAATCAAATGCATCACAATGGAATGGACAATAATCCTTATATATAGTCATCAAATCAAGTCAATCAGATGACCTCAATCCAATAAAGCATGCATGAACTAAATATTAAATAAAACTGTATTCATGTTCATCTTAACTTTTGATTTGATCAATAAACTGAAAGATTCTTGCATGATGCTTAAAATGAGTCATTTTCCAATAAATGTCCAAATACTGCTCTTCATTATTATGCAGTGGAGGGAACTCGAACATGAACAAACATGTTCTCCTCCACAAACGTCCACATTACTACTGTACCACCTAAAGGGTCATTTTTCATGTCAAGTACAGACTAGCTGGTGAGGTGAGATGACGATAAACGGAACTCGAACAGAACGTTGTCTTTGCATTCTCTCCTCTGTACAAAATGATAAATGGCTCGGTGGATAGCACACGACGGGAGCACAGATCAGACTGACCGTGGTGACCTGCAGGTGGCCGTGGTGGTGCCAGACGTTTCTTGCTCTTGGCGCTGCCGGGGCTCGCAGAGCGGGATGAGCTCCCTCCACTCGGGGGAGTGTCTGCACCTGTCGCGTCAGCTGCCTGAGTGATGCTGTACCACGGGTGAGTAGCCACCACTGTGGGTGGAATTGCACTTCCTCCGCTGCCCTCTTCTTCCGCTGCCTCGTCATTTTGATCTTCGTCATCATCCTCGTCGTCCTCGAATGGGTTGGCGGGTGCAGGGGGTGTGCTGGGTCTGGAGCCCTCCCCTTTGAGAGAGGACAGAGAGCCTATATTGGGAGGGGTTGCCAGTCCTGCAGGGGGAGGGGGAGGGGCTTTCTTCTTCCTGGGTTCTGATTGGACCAGGGCGAGCCAAGGTGGGTCTTTGGGTTTATGGGTGGCACTAGACAGGCTGGACAGTGAGGTACACAGATAGGGATGGAGGGGTCACAGATGGCAAGACAACAAAATAAGGCCAAATGGAGGCATGGAGGGTCAAGCAAGTACATTGTGCAACAAGGTGAAACTCAAAACTGAGACAGACAATGAAGATATAACTAAGGTCAATGAAATGGTGGCAATGGAGGGACAAACAGGCATTTAAGGAAAGTTCAGCTACCTTCCAGGAGACCGTGATCTTTCTCGAGGTTTGGGAGGAATCGGAGGCTTCTGGCATTCACCTGTGATTTCAAGAAAAACGTGAGGATGAATATCAACAGATCCTGTATTCTTTATCTATAATAATGTATATTCTGCAGTGAGCACGCACCGGCTGTAAGGCGGTCTGCCGTACGGGGTAACCGAACCCGAGGGGCAGGGCGAGGAGGAGGGGCGGGTTCAGAGACCCGGCGAGGAGCCGGTACTGGCCGACTGGCACCTTCATTTTGACTGATCGGCATAGAAGGGAGGTCCCCATTGATCGTTAACTTGGCTGGTGTTTTAGTATCTTCCTCTTCCTCCACCTCTTCTTCATCGCTCTCATCAAAAGGGTTTGGAGGAGAAGAAGAACGAGGTATCCCCTCTGTCTCTCCACTGCCATCCATCACCTTCGCTTTCTCCAAAGAATCTGCTCCATTTGTTGTAACAGCAGTGGCTGTGACAGAGTCATCAGCAGGCACATCCGCTTCCTCTGTCTGGCTTACTGGAGGAGCAGTCTGTTCCCCGTCAGAGAGCGAGGTGTGAGGGATTGTGCTGCGACCGATCCTGGCCGACTGACCTACCACTGCTCTCTTACTAAAATCTGGCCGGCCGTTCTGATTGGCTAAAGCATGCCTGGCAAGGTGATGTGTACAGACCAAGGCCCCGGAGTTGCTTCCTAATTTGTAGGATCCAGGAAGCAAAGTGCTGCGACACTCTGTGCACCTGAGACAACGATGACACAGGAAGACAGTAAGATCAACATTAAAGAGTGTTGAGATATAAAGTCACAGGTACACAGGTAGACAGTAGCCGTAGCTGCAGTGCTCACCTGAAGCAGTTGCGATGATAGAGCTTGCCGTCCACCAGAAATCTCTGCACCAGGTGAACATGTTTCTGGCAGGCGGCACAGGTGCTGCTGAGCGTGCTGCGCCTGACTGCTGCAACCGCTTCTTCGCCCGTCTGCGCGGGCTGGCTCGGCTAATGCAAGCGACCGGGACGTTGTTCACAGGGAGAGGGGAGACGGGGGGGGGGGGGGGGGGGGGGGGGGGAGATGGAGAGTAATGGTGGACGGGGGAGATCAAACACGGAGTCAGGATTTGAGGATGTGGATCGTTCATTTGGTTTAGCTAAAGCTGCTCGACTAAGGTGACATCTACTGCTCATTGACTCATGTGGTTAAACTGCATACTTCTTTTTAAAACATAATTTGATTAATAGAAAACATGTGTGTCTTTTGTAAGTTTTTATTAGTAAGAAAATCCAAACCGCTTGAGTTAATGGTTCTGAGTCACATTGTGAGGATATGATTGATGTTTAGGACAGATTTACTGTTTTTAGTCTTTTATTTTTGTCATTATTTATTTGTGTTAAACAAAAAAGGAGTTAGCAGCAGCGCATTGCAAAACTTGGCACACAGCGTTAGGATAGTGCTACTGTTAGTATTTAAAAAAAAAAAAGACTTAACTGACCTAACTGTTCTGTTTTTACCTCCTAAACCACCCCCACCCCCATCCTACTGCCTAGGCTCAGGACCACAGAGTGGAGGGGGGATCAGATGGGATGAGGAAGAAGAGCAGGAAGAGGAGGGAGTGGAATGGATTTCCACCTGAAGAGGGTGGGGGGGGGGGGGTTGCCAGAACATGGAAGTATGGCGATGGAGGAAAGAAGTTGAAGGCATGCGAAAGAAAAGAGAGACAGGATACAGAGGCTATCTTTGTAGACTTACTCTACCTCTGCTGCTTAGCTTTTCCCCTGCTGTGCAATACAAAGCCCACACAAGGAAGAAGTACTTATGAAGTACTTATTGTTGTACTGCAATGGCAGGATGGGATTTGTATTGTACAGATCCTGACTTAATATCCCCAAATAGCCCATGCAGAATTACACTTAGATAATCCAAAGAGAAAAAACAGGGATGCGGTTTAAGTGTGGTTATCCGGGCCTTCAAAGGACACCATAAACAATATTAATCAAATAATAGAGCTTGTTGACATGTAGCTCCAGTAGAGTATCATGCAGACATAATGTAGTTCAGTGATGCAGGTATTAAAAGGTATTATGTGTGGCCTAGAGTAAAAGGAATATCAATATCAATACGTGCAAAGCGTAGTTCCCATCTCTCCTGGTGCCGCGTCTTGTTCTTACCTCAGACTCAACCACTTTGTCTTCCAAAGGGGTCGGTGGCCTTTTCTGGGTCGGCTCATTATGACCAACAGAACTCAGCCTTTTCACGCACGGGGGGTTTGCTGCAGAAAAGGAAGTCATCAGTTAATGATATAAATGAATTGTATAAAGGTTGTTAGACCCAAGAGTTGTACAGGTTGCTCCATCTCAAGATGTGCAGAGGGTGGACAGTTTTTATAGCTCTGAAATTAGGACGGGAAAAGTCATCAAATTAATATTATCTGTGAAATATATGGTCAAAATCGTAAGAACCACATTAACCTCAAAACATTAGATGTCTTTTATGTGCACAGCGCTTGAAGAGAAATCCAAATAAATTCCCTGAACCCACCTTGAGACTTGTTGTTGAAGAAGTTGTAGTACTGGGAGACGTATGTGATGATGCTGAGACGGTCAGGCACTTTCATGGACACCATGTCTTCTGGGTCCAGCAGGGCCGGGATGCCCAGCTGTGTCTCTGCCACTTCAAAGGCCTACGATGAAGCAAAGACAGAGGAGGGAGGACGATCAAGAAGATGCTGAGAAACAGTAAGCAGTGCGTTCGTTTAGGGGAAACTAATCTCCCGCACTGTGTTGGGACTATTTCTACGGCATAAAGGAGCTGCTATGGAAACTGTTGACAGCGAGGTACGTAGGTGGATCAGCCTCAGTAACTGGGACAATATTTATGGGAAGACACTTTGCTGTCGGGTTTCAAAGTTCCATTTACCTTCATTCTACTGGGGTGGCAGGAGCAATCTAAAGAGGCTGATGTCTAAAAACCTCTGGAACCAAAACCAAAACTATTTGCATTGCTTGATACCACTATGGGTGAGTGAGAACGTTGTTGTTAAGGAAGTCGAGTTGCTGCACGACATGACAATGTTGCACAACGCTGAGGACAGAATAATGTCTTTGTTGCATGTGTGTAAAAAAATAAAAACATGCTGGTCACAGCCCACCAACCAGCACATACTGGATGACCTGAATAATCTGACTGCTGCCAAAACACCAGCCACTTGCTGATAATGTAACGTGTTGTTCTTTGAGGATAACCATCGGTCTAATGAAAAATTCCACTGAGGAAATGAGACGGGGTGGTGGTAAAGTTACATAACAAAAGGGATACAATCGTTGGCCGTCACACAACACTGAAATAATCCAGTGAACAAATGCTTCACACAGGTAAAGACGAACTAAACCAAATTGGATACAAAGTATGCAAACAGCAGCAAAAAGCTGCCGAAGCTTAGCTCGGACTGGAAGTGAGGAAATCCCCTCGATGTTCTGCTGACAGACGATGTGGAAAAACTCAACGAGGGAAATGTAATATAAAAAGAGTTCTTCACTGGTTTCTAACCACCAGATTTATAAGCGGCAAATTCAGCACTTTTGCACCTAAAATCCTCTTTACGTCGTCTCTACGAAGGCTTGTGTTAGGATTTCTTATGACACTGAATGCTCTGGCTTCCTCCCTCTTTTCCCTGGTCAGGCTCCATCCGGATTGAGTAACGCTGCTCTTCACACAGACAGTCAAACACTCTGAAGTCACACCCAACGTGACTGCATGCAGTCGTCACTAAGGATTAGGAATCTGATGGCTGAATGAAGCACTCGCAGTAGGTGATTTCACCCCCTTCAGGAGCAAATGGTCTCACTAACTGAAAACATCATGCAACACAAGATCACGGGAGTGTTGATATTTCAAAAACATACAGCGGGTAAAGTTGACTCACCAGTCGGTTGTTCTCGTACACATTCTCTTTGGACAGCGAGCCAAAGTCACTGAAATGACAAGAAAGATTATGTATGCAGGTAGTCAGTGTACAGTTATGTAAACCGCAACAACTGCACATCGTGGTGTCTCCTTTATGTCAGCACTATAGTACAGCAGAAGACCAGACAGCAGTAAATAGCCACGCTGATATAGGATGGTGCTGTATTGAGTTTGTTGACCTGTGTCCACTTATGTTATGAACCATCAACAAGCTATTATTGGCTTGACAGCATGACGGTGAGCAGTTGAGCTTCCAGACTACCAAAGCTGACAACTGGTCCCAAAACCCCACACATAAACGAGGCCTGATGTGCCAGTACAAGAGGAAAAACACTGCAGCACCAAACGGGAGCGATGGGCTGATAATTACAAGGCTCTGCTTTGAAGTGCCAGCGGCGATGGAACGAGAGCCAGACTCCCGCCAGCAAACATCCTGCAGTAAGACTGGAAAATGTCTGAGGTGCTCTGGGATGAAAGTGCCGTTGTGTGCATAAGTAAATATAAGTGTGTATTAGTAGGACAACAGTGTGGCAGGGGGGAGAAACCACCGTGACCCCGGTGAGAGCTTGTGGAGACCATGTGGAACTCTCAAGAAGGAAAAACCCTGTGAATGAGCTCCGTGTTGGAGCCACACAAAGTGACCTCTGTTCTCTCTAATCTAGTTCTCATGGTCCCAAACACACCGAGCAGCAGCTCTAATATCAAGAACGTGTTCTCCCAAGTCCTCTGTCAGAGCTTCAGCTACTTTAAAAAACGTTTTCACACATTCTTTGACAGAACAGTCGGTGCCAGCCGACACTGACGTGAATGAAGTGCAGTATGTGATCTGAATTGCAAACCTAATCCACTGTGACTCAAGAGTCTCGCTCCACGGTTTATTTTGGGAAAGAGGACTGCTGAGGAGCTGTGTGTGTGTGTGTCAGGCATTTAAAATACACATGATGATCAAAACCCGGGTGAACCAGTATTTCTGCTAAATCTGGTTCAGTCAGATGGGAACGCTTGTGCTAGAGCATACAGGGTTGGGATTTGGTGATGTCAAGGATGGACAATCAAAAATGAGGCTTATACATTATGTAATAATCAGTAGTTAATAGAAGAGGAGTAGTACATAGAACATCTAAAAAGTAAAACGAAGTGGATGACGTGAGTGTTTGCACTGCTGCATAGTGCATGAATGAATAGATTTCATTTAAATGTTGACCTCCCTGTTACACGCACTGTGGTTATACAGGACACGGGTGATTACTCTCAGCCATGTCTACTCCCTCTCCAGTGGGTGGAGTGACAATGAAATTGAGATGAGGCCATTTGCTGCACTGAGTATTCTCCCTCCTCTGCATCAGTGTGTTGTAGTTTGATGGGAATACATTGGCTGCAGAGTGCAGGCAGGGTCACCATACAATGGCTGGGCCCAGTATTAAGAGCTAAATGCAGTTTGACAGGCGGAGGTCTCAGCTGCAGATTAGCCTGACGAACTGTCTGTCTGGATCACAGCGAGCTCCGTTGGGCTGAACAGGGAGACGTGCTGGGTCACAAATTGAAGAGGCAGAGCTTGAAAGCTGGGTGTTTAGGATTTGTCTTCGCTCTCTTACTTTCAGCTTTACTGCAGATAGACTAGATCCAACTTCACCGACTTGTCCTTCAGTGACTGGTCCACTGAACGTTTGCTCTAATACAATCCAAGCACAGTCCAATGTGTTCACAAAAGCCTGGACCACCTGAGAGGTTAGCAGCATGAGCAAGATACTTATTGTCTAAAATCATTCCATCACGCCACATGTTCCCCCACAAGGACAAAAGAGGGACATGACATGTCGTTTACTGGCTGCTTTTACACAATCTTCTGACGACAGGAAGGGCTGTTGACTTCTTTCAGAAGGAGTTAAACCACCAACGTAACGCTGTCAATAGAGAGCACTTCCCACTGAGCTACGCTGAGGCACAATATGCTACACAGGACTCGTGCTTCTCCACAGAGACGCATGTCCAACATCTTATGAAGGAGTTTCTGTTTAGATTTACTGTCACACTGCAAATAACGGAAACATTTCAAATCAAATTATTTGCCTGCCTTGATTCACAGGATATGAAATACAAGTAACAAACACATGACGGCCTCTTATTAAGTACTGAAAGGCTGATCCTCACCAAATAACATACGTCAGCCTTTTCGTGCCGTTGGAGCAAAGGCACTTATTAACTGTAAGTTAAATAAGTGGGACATTTTCTGCTTTTGGTCTGGATTTCCTCATCCCGATAACCCTTTTTAGTCACACCAATAATGCGGTTGTGTTTTGCGGTGGCTTCTGTGATGTGTGTGTAGGTGTAGAATGCAGAGAAGAGGGGTATGTTGTCACAGACAGGGCATGGCTTGTCAGCTTCAGTTAATCACAGCACACTGGCCTTTCAGTGTACAATGTTCCTAACACATGTACTTTGAGTGTTTTTGACAACACACACACATTAAAACATAGAATGGTGATAGAAATGTAACAGAAATGGCATTTTTTTTTTGCATATGTAAAGCAAAAGTTATCTAACCACTAATACTATCATATGCAGTTGTGCTAATGCAGTGTTTTTGAATTGAGCAGCCTTCTACCTAAAATGTATAATGTATATATACCTAAAAAAATGTGACCTTTTTTTTAATCAGGAGCCTTTCATAATTTCATAAGTCCTTAAAGCCCCTTTCTCTGGTTTATCTAGAGCAGTCTAACGTTACTGAGTTTGTTCTGCATTTGTATCCTAAATGGATTAACATACCAAATACTACAGCACTTAAAAACAGTTTCTAAAACAGTATGAAGCCAAAACAACGCCTCCACACGCTTCACTGGAGCCCGCTGCTATGTGATGTTACGTTAATATAGTCCATACTTACATCAGTTCTGGTCTGTAACGATGGATTATGGCACAAAACGCCAAACCGTCCCGAAAGGACGTGGACATGTCCTTCACTTCCACGTCGTTGTAGTGTTCGCACTGTATGCGACACCACTCCTGGAGAGCCTTCAGAGACCCCATCACAGTATCACAGGAATCAAAGTCACCGGGATTCCTGTCAATTAAAATCGTCTCGTTTCTTGGGTTTCTTTGTCCTTTTGGTCACTGACGAGTCATCAGCAGCTTCTCAGCGAAGGTGCGACAGACAACACCCGATGCTGCGGTACTATACATTGACAGCAAGTGAGTCACGTTAAGAAAACTAGCATGGCTAGCTAGAAGTTATCTCACTTTTTCCCCAAGTACAACGTGCATTATGACCCGAGTTTATATCCCGTACCGAGTTATTCCGACAGCGATGACAACATTTAACGTGGAAACGTTGACCAGAACCACTCACTACTAAAACACTGATATCCAGAGTTGATAACGGTAGCTTGCCAACAAAGTTCTTGACGTAGCGGACTCGGCTAACTAGCTAGCTGTGGTCCGTTAGCGCCTCTGCTCGTCATGTCTAACTGTACAGTGTGCAGGTCTGCTTCTCTTTAGTAGGCGCTGCCTGGCTCCGAGGGTCGTCTCTGACCCGGTTTGGGGCGATGATGCGGATTCAGTCGAAGCAGAGGTGACGGTGTCCTCCTTGAGGTGGACCACAATAAGGTTTTTGTTTGTTGCTGCAGTGACTGCAAAACGCTGGACAAAAAGAAAAGTCGCGCGCTAATGGCAACGCCCTCTTTGCGTCAACAAAATTAAAACACACTGTAAAAAAAAAATACATTCCGGACAATTAATGTTGATTAAAGCAGCCAAGCGCCGCCATCCCCGTTGCATTGGTCGGACCGTCGCCTACACGTTGTTGTTTCGCCTTGCGGCCACGCGGGAAGCTCCAGGGCCGTTTTTCCAACTGCTCCCTACGCGAGATGTTACAAAGTCTCGCGATAGTGGCCACTTGTTTAGAATTACCGAAAGATGGCGGCGGCGCCTCCGGATGAGGCGACCCTCCAGTCTCGTATCAGTAAGTCGTTATACTGTACAATCAGATGAACTGCTGGACGGACAGCGATAGCCAGTCCGCTTTAAGGGACCCGGATACATGTTGTCAGTCTAAATGTGTTACTGTCGGCCATCGCACTTTCCGGAGGGAAGATATTTATTAGAGAATCTAGAGAGCGAATGTCATCAAATTTAAAAAGTGCAGTTGTCGATAGGGAACAAACTCAGTAACTGTTAACACATCTGCTGTGAGGCGATCGTATTCTGAGCTCATATTATGTTTACTGTTGACATGTCGAGGTTAGTGATGCCACACGAACATGATGATTAACGCTCAATTAATTCAAACGTCCATTTGATTGCTAACATCAGCTAGTTAGCTGCTGACGGTTTCCTGGCCAAAACAAGCCAGTTGAACGAACCCAAAACCAGGAACCATGACGGTACTATGCGTCTGATTTAACCGGTTAACGTGACAGGATTCAGCCACACGACTACCAACTCTCTTCAGCTGCTCCAAACCACAGAACTCGTACATTTAGCAAACAGCCAGAGGCTACAGCTGCTGAGAGGCGCTTAGTCAGACTCTCAAATGTGCGGCTGTAAAATGCCAGTGTGAATTGTCACGAGACGTTTGACACATAGAAGGTTTGACAGACTTCACGATCCGACACAACGCAGCAGTGTTAGAGTTGTGAAACATAGCAGATGCAGAATTTATAAAAATGCATTTTCATTTTGCACAGACAAGGCCACCAACCCGTTGAACAAGGAGACCGACTGGGACAATGTCAAGGGCTTTTGTGATCAGCTCAACGATGAACCAGAAGGGTGAGATGATGATAAACGCACTACACCATTTCAGAGTACATATTTGTTAAGCACCATGTACAAACTGCAGACTCAAATCGGCACTGTGCCAGTGGTGGTTGATCTACTAACAACTTGGTTTAATCCAGTTTCACAGCTCCGTAGAAAACGTCACACAAGCTACATCATATTTCATCACAACATGAAACACGTCAGACCAGTCACATTCACATGCTTCACACTCGCCAAATTATGTGTTTGTTATGGCATGTTTTAAATTGCTGTGTTGCATTGACAGTTGCATGTTGTTCTCTATCAGTCCCCAGCTTGCAACCAGACTTCTGGCCCACAAAATCCAGTCTCCTCAGGAGTGGGAGGCTATGCAAGCGCTAATGGTAAGCTAATAAGTGTAACGGTCGGCAGAACGCCACATTGGAAGCCACTTGTCATTGTTTTATTACAGTGAAGGTTGTTTTTTGTGGAGGCTTTGTCTGTACAAATGTAAAAACAAACAATTACACAATTCCCAGGTTCTGGAGACGTGCATGAAGAACTGTGGAAAGCGATTTCACAGTGAGGTGGGAAAGTTTCGCTTTCTCAATGAGCTCATCAAAGTGGTGTCACCGAAGGTAATGATCCCAGTCTTTCATGCCGACATACCTGTTTGGCTGCAAATGTAATTATTTTGTGAACCAGTGGAAGCAGTTTGTTAGTGTTTAGGAAAACCTTACGGGAATCAGATTATCTATCCAGTTGTTGTTCAAGCATAAACACATTTTACATTGACAATCAAAACATGAATTTGCTCTTTTCTGCAGTATTTGGGTGCCCGGGCTCCAGAGCCAGTGAAGAAGAAGGTGTTAGAAATCATGTACAGCTGGACAGTGAGGATGCCCGATGAGACCAAGATAGCAGACGCCTATCAGATGCTGAAAAAACAGGGTGAGCGCTTCAGGACAAGAAGAGAACATGACGAGTGGTTAGCACTGTTCAATCCCCACAAGGGGCCTTTCTGTGTGATGTTTGCATGTTGCATGTTTCCTCCCACCACCAGAACACAAGTGCTGGGCGATCGGGCGCTGGAGAAGGTTTATGAATGCTTTTTTTTTGGTTCCTGATATTTTCCTTGCATTAACAAACAGTGTTTTGTACAAGGCAGTGTCGCTTCTCCTTTTTATGGTGATGAGCCACAAACATGAGACGAATGTCCTTAGTCATGCTTAGTTGAATGTAGTGTGATCTACATGTTGTGTAAGAACCATATCTGTAGTGTGTTGGTTTGTGATGCATTTTGACAGAATGCATCCGACTCTTTATCTAACAGAAGTGTCAAGAACAATGTCATAGCACCAGTATCACACATGTGTCACGGAGAGGACTCTGAGCCGGCAGTGACCCGGATGACCCAGACGTGGCCGAGCTGTTTACATGTGAGGTTAATAGGTGTCCTGGCTCTCTTCCAGGCATTGTCAAGCTGGATCCTGAGCTTCCTGATGACAAGCCCCTCCCACCTCCTCCACCCAGAGAAAAAAATGTCCTCTTTGAGGATGAGGAGAAATCCAAGGTATGAGTGACGACCAGGCGCCCATCAATTTGAACAGGGTTTCAAAAGAATTTCTAAAATAAATGTTCTGAAGTTTAACTCCTGGGAAAATCCTCAAGGAACCAACAGTTTACAAAGTGCTCTTCCTCTCCCTCTTTTGTCCTATCCTGTGTTTGTAGATGCTGTCTCGCTTATTGAACAGCAGCCACCAAGAAGATCTGAGAGCAGCAAACAAGCTCATTAAGGAAATGGTCCAGGAGGTGAGTCACTGGTGTTGTTTATGTGCTGTACAGTATGTGGTCTGACATGTTTTTCCACCGTTTGCACAAAAGAAACGCCACATTATGTCTCATGATAACATTAATGCACCCGGATATTAATTTCAAGGCCTTTTCAACAATTTTTTGGTTGATTATCGTAGTGTTTAATGCTTTATGAGTTATGACCTCAATCTACTTCAACATTGACAGCAGATGTGAAAAGCTGAATATCCAATTAATAATCCAGGTTTTGACCTAGATGTGATGAAACACAAGTAAGAATGTATTAAAGTGAAACTTGTTTCTCTGATGTTGAACACATTTGGTTGAATATTATAATAGTATAGGTATATTCCTAAACTGTAATATAGCTTTTTATTACCATTATACGTTATATTGACTCGTGACTCATTGTGAGATCCTATCGCCCCTTTTTCTTTTTTTTTTTCCCAGGACCAAAAGCGTGTCGAGAAGGTATCGAAGCGATTGAACGCCATCCAGGAGGTGAAGGAGAGTGTCAGCCTGCTGAGCCAGTTGCTGGAGGGCTACAGCAAGGAGAGCTGCTCCCAGAGCAACCAGGAGCTCATTAAGGTTAGCACGGCTCAGCACATTAGCTGCAGCTACAGTCTCGTCATTCTGCTTGTGCCGCCCACTGCAGGTGTGGTTTCAGTGTTTTTTAACATGTGTCCGTTCACAGGATCTTTACCAGCGCTGTGAGAAGATGAGGCCTACACTATTCCGGTTAGCGAGTGATACAGAGGATAGTGACGATGCTTTAGGTAAGGTCGCTGACCTCATGACTTTGACAGTGTGTCGTATTAGAAAAGGCAGAATAAGCAGTTCAGGCCCATTTTCAAAGCGTGAAACCAGGTCGGTGTTGCTAATGAGCCTTTTCTCTGCTTCTAGCCGATATCCTGCAGGCCAATGACAACCTGACTCAGGTCATCAACCTGTACAGGCAGCTGGTAAAAGGAGAGGATGTGTCAAAGGATGGCTTAACCTCGCCCTCACAACCAGGTAGGTGCCTGCGTGTGATTTGGCTTCTATCCGTGTTTGCTAAGCTCGATCAACAAATTCTCCAAACACGTCTGTAGACTATAAGATCACAGATGTGTTTCCTCTGTCCAAAACAGGCAGCAGTAGCTCAGCACTCGTAGACTTGATGGGACTTAACGCGTCAGTCAACACGGGGCCCTCCAGCCTCCAGAGCCTGACTCAGAACATGGGCATCAGCCTCTTGGATGATGAGCTCATGTCACTAGGTAAGCACAAAATAAACTCATCTGGCTCGTAAACGCAAAGGTGGATTACTACGCTTAACTTTGTAACGAGTCAAAAACTGTCGAGTCAGCAGAGTGAGCTCGGTGTGTGGCCCTCCTGTTGGCTGATGATCCTCAGAGGCAGGCCACATCTGCCTCGACCAACAAAAAGAGCTCCACACATTCACAGCTTCACTAGAAACATTCACTACTCTTGTCTTGCTTCTAACGTGATATTGTATTCGGGGTTTGTTTGAGTTCACCTTTGTTGTCTCTTATTTCCTAGGACTGAATGTAACGGAAAGCCTCGACTCGCAGAACAATTTCCAGGTGCAGTTTGAAAGATAATACCGTCCTGCTCACATTGAAGCCATTATATGTCAAATTCAAAGAAAATGTCTGACTAAAAATAACTTAGCAAAAACGTACGGCGTTAGATACTTCTACTGATTTTCATTTTCAATCATCTCCATCTTCTCATGAACTCTTTGAAAGGCAAATTCAAACCCTCCGTTTGTTCTCTCAGTCCTCTGATGGCACAGAATCATCTGTCCCTGCTGCAGTGTTGCAACCAGCTGTGGTCCAAACACCACAAGCTGCACCAGCAGGGGGGGGGCACTGCTCCTCCTAAACCCATGGAAGAGCTGGAGATGTTGGGGAAGACATTGTTACAGCAGTCCTTACCCCCACAGAGCCAGCAGGTCAAATGGTAAATAAACTGGAGTAGATGGAATGAATAACCTTTTTAAAGTTCTTCATTGTTTGACAGAAGGAAGTATGTCTGTGTCTGATGCACTAACCCTTCATAGCCCTGAATAACATGTTCCTCAACATCTAGGGATAAGCTCCAACCTCGATCCAGAGTCTCCTTACGAGATCTGCAGAGCCAGTGCAGCGCCAGCTCTAGACCGGCTCCTAATGGAACCGCCATCCTCTCCGCTGGTCCCGCTCCTCCTCCGGGGCCCACATTGGCTGTCCATTCAGAGCAGCCGGACACTCTCCTCCTCTCCAATCTCAGTCTCGCAGCTGCAGAGAGAGGCTCATCGGCTGCTACTGACCCCTATGACAACATCTCTCTATCTGACGTCACGGTGCCTCTGGAAGCAATCAAACCTAGTAAGCATGAGCAGTAAGCCCGGGCCCAATAGTGACGCCTGGTTTGGTCATATGTGCAGTTTTCTCTCTTTTATTTCTCTGCATCATGTTCTGTTTTTGTCTGCACATATATTTCAGGCAGTTTATTACCAGTGACTGTATTCGACAAACACAGCCTCCGTGTTTTGTTCACCTTTGCCCGCGACTGTCCTCCGTCACGGTCTGACGTGCTGGTGGTGATCATCTCCATGCTGTCCTCGGCCCCCATTCCTGTCGCCAACATCCGCTTTCAGGCAGCTGTACCAAAGGTCGGTTTAGGGCAATCTGGTGGAAACGACGTCTTCTCGACTGAAGTATTATTTGTGCGTATCGTGATTTTTGTGTGGATGTGCCGATAGGTGATGAAAGTAAAGCTGCAGCCTCCCTCTAGCACCGAGCTCGCAGCCTTCAGTCCCATCCTGCCTCCAGCCGCCATCACACAGATCCTGCTGTTGGCTAACCCTCACAAGGTGCCCCCCCCCCCCCCCAAAATTGCATTTTGGTGATAAACACTGAACGTAAGCTGAGACGTTTTTTCTTTGTTTCCAAGGAAACTGATGTTTTTTTTCCTCTTGTGTTTCAGGAAAAAGTGCGTTTGCGGTACAAGCTGACCTTTAACCTGGGGGACAAATGTCACGATGAATCTGGCGACGTGGACCAGTTCCCGCCTCCAAACAGCTGGGGGAACCTGTAGGGAGAAGAACCAGCCTCCTGTCATCTGATCTGCTGCTTCCTTTAGATTTAGGTCGAAGTTGTCCCTCTTCACTGGCTCGAGATGAGACTGCCTCTTTACACTTCAGTGGTTTCAGACTGTGGTTTGGTAATACAAACTGACGCGAGACCAGTTGTGGGAACCAGCTTCTACCTTGTGCCTTCCTTCGCGCCTTCCTGTCCTTTTTCAATCATCTCCGCGTTCCTGTGTTTCGTACTGTAGAATTTTCTTTCTTCTTCCAACAATCATTCCAATGCAAAACATTGATTCAATGCAGTGACTTTTGGGAATTACAAATGTCTGACATTATTTCTCAACTGTAAAGCAACTGTCTAATGCATTCCTTACTTTGGACAGCATGAGCAAAGATGTCCCACATTCAGAGTGTTGTCACAGTTTGTGTGTCCGACGGTGGTCAGAGTAGGGTTGAAACAAATCATTATTTTCTTTCGGTGCATCAATAATACTTTTCAGTTAAACTTAAAGTCGGTTACATGCTTAAAGTGATGTTTACAGTCTGACCAACAGCCAAAACACTCTATGTATTCACCCTATGATCTGGAGTAGTTTGTATTTTTACCTGATAAATAACATGATTATCAGAATTTGAATTAATTTCCTATCAAATGATGAATGAATTGTGTCGGCACTTCATCGGTGTTGAAGGAAGAGCAGCTTCAGTGGGTGTAATAGTCGGATGCTAGCTTGCTAAACTTTTAGCAAATCACTTGAGTTGCATCTGGAAAAGATGAAACTAAATTGAATGATCACTTTGAAATTGTTGAAGTGCTTTTCCCTTCTATTCAGTGGAGACGGTATCTCCTGGTAGCATACATGAGGAAGTGGTACAGTTTTTAAGTATTGCTTTGGTTTTAATATTTATGTCGTCTACGCTGTGACAAGCAGCAGACTTGTCACAGGAGCACAGGTGTTTAATAAGTTGTCAATGTCTTCTGTGAAGGACTACGAAGGAAGGGTACGAAACATCTGCCCGTTAAAATACTGAAATTTAGCTTTTCATTTCTGCACTTTTCTTTATTTTTGAACGATTGGGACACTTTTTATGTTATGTTTCACTCAGAATTTTAGTTTTGTTATTTTACACAGCATGAACTATCATGCACTTATTTTGTTTTATTTTACACATGAACCCATTTCATATCACAATACATTGTCTTTTCTCATTTGCTGCCTTTCTACTGTTGATCGACCCAAAGAGGGACGCGTGAAGTCCTGAGTTGACGTTGCGTACACACGGTTTGATTCTACCACACGTGCCTGAGATGAAACGGTTGATTTTCATTTGCTCTTGTACATATATGTATCCAGATGACTAGTTTGATCTTTGTTTCTGTTTTCATACGTCCACGTCCGTGACGCATCTAATGATGTTCCAGAACCGTCCTTATAACCACGGCCATTGAGTTGACTGGAGCACTAAGTGTCATAAAGATTCAAATAAAATGAGATTGGAGGCAGACTGGTTCCACCTGAGGAATACGATTGTGAAACTCAAAATGTGTGTAACTACAACAGAGCTGAAGGTTCAGTTCATGATACGAGGGATCACTTTCAGAATTACCAACTGAGTGATATTGATTCTGTTCAGGTGTTGCATTTCTTATGGAGGATCATCTCACAGTGCCATTAATCATAGTGATGGGCTGTTTCACAACACTGTGAAGGAGACATTTCATTTACTTACAGCTCCACCGCTAACCTGTCCAGGACTTAAAGAAGAGAGCAATAATGAGACAAACAGTAGCCTCAGTCAGCACCTTTCAGTCCTCCGTTGCTCAAGCTGATTGCAAATTATGAACATTGCACGACTTATTGTGAACTATGCATTGAGGGGACTGTAACAGGTTTATCTTGTTCACACATGCACATATTTGCCTTTAGTCATTGCCTACAAGTTTATTGCATTTTCCTCTTTAGGATGAATAGCGGCCCATTATTTGACTGCAGTAGCACAAATCAGATGATCAATTCTGAATGTTGCAGTCTGTGGAGATGACGGCGACGATGGCTCTTCCTTTTTAACAGATTTCTTGGTCTGAAGGTATTAACTCACCTGTGATTTGTCATCCCTGTCTGCACTGATAGATTAGTTACTCAACCAGCTATCGCACCGTTCCCACGACCTAAAACAATTGCCTGAGACATGAGACGGGGCACTCGTCTTGTAGGCATTTCATGCCTCGGTGTAGTATTCATTGAGGTGTATTTAGGGGTACGCTACAAAGTAACGGGTTATTGCAGAGCTCCTTTACAAAACCTATTACAGAGACAAATCCCCGTCATCTTTTACTGAGATACTTCATAACCTCTACACTGCAGAAAGTCATGAACAAGCACTGTGCATGCAAACCTGTTCTTTCAAGTGCGTCATCAGACTGGACCTCAGACAGTCATTTTGACTGGCAAGAAGAAAAACAACTTAAGGAACTAGACACATCACATAAAACCCAACGTGAGTCCATCAACTAAATTGGATCCAAATGTTTAAGATTGTTACACAACTAAAAGTAACAAGGCCTCTACTTACAGTATATGTGTATTTGTCTTTTCCATTTGTGCTCCCAATGTAAATAAAAGCTTCATGCCATGATGTATATTTACATACATGTACATACTGCTGGATACAAATTGAGAATGTACTACAAATGTGTATTTAAGGCAAATAAAGTCATTTGTATGGCAAATCTACCGGATGTATAAATAATTTGACCAATAACTTTCAGAGTAGAAAATAGTTTTGATTCTTTTTTATTTATGAAGAAAAAAAATAGTTGAATGAAAGACAAAACTAAGCAACAAACTAATCTAGTTCACAATCCATCAGAAAACAGGTCTGCATCAGCTGATCTGCTTATTAAATCAACATGGGAGTCAACAGTTACAAGTACATAGAAACACACTCGTCTTGCTTAAGGAACAAGGAAATAGAGTAAATCTAACAAAAAAATAATTGTTGCACGTTATCAAAACTATGGAATAAGATTCACAACTTGGATGCACTGCTTCAGTGTTTAGAAGAACAACCCAAAATATAATGACAATCAAAACCTTAAACAAAAAGGGTAAAAAAGGTCTAGCTTTAATAAAAGCAGAGAGCGAGACATGACTCCGGACTGAGACGGTGGATACTAGAAATCAAACATTCCCATAAGCAGCACTTTCCACCACGTACCACTGAGGCTAGTTTTCATTGTAATCTAGTCCCGACGCAGCTTAAACTGGAGAGGGACAAAAAACAAGAAACGTGTTCCATGGTACACGGTTGAGTTAAGGTTGGAAAGAAAGGTAAAAGTTTTAGGTTTACTTGTATCAAAAAAGTATTACACAATTGAGAGATATAAGCCCTTAACTCCTGGAGAAGGAAAGAGTTGGAGAGTAAAAGCTAAAATTACTCTTCGAACACACTAAGTAGCGCAAATTAACTCGGTGCTTCCTGCTCGTAATTCTACTTCCTGGGAGGTGGAGGGCCCGGAGGAGGAGCGGGTGGAGAACCAAAAGGGTACGCCGGTTGCCCCATGAAGCCCATGACCGTTTGCTGTTGTTGGGCAAACGGCTGAGTCATCAGAGGCGGGAACCCCCCTGATAATGAAGGAGGAGGAGGAGGCTGGCCAAACTGACCCTGCGGCTGGCTGGACTTCTCCTGACCTCCGCTGACCTGGCCTCCGTTGCGGGAGTTGTAACCCCCGCTGCCACTGTAACTCTGGTAGTGATCTGAGCCCGAGTTGTGGCTATTCCCCTGATCCCGGCCTCTGCCCCTGTAAGAGGAAGTGGAGCGGTCTCCATCACGGTCGTTGCGGCCGTAGCTACTGCGGCTGTCTTTGCCGCCGCCGCCGCCACCACCACCACCACCACCACCACCGGTGTGCATGCGGCGATCACACCCCCCCTGCTGGTACATGTTGTTAGAGTAGCTGGAGCTGCTGCCACGGTAGCGCATTCTGCCACCTGTAACAAACAACAAACGTAAAGTCAGAATTATTATGTCCCATTTGACAGCATGACGGACTGGGATGTACCAAGTTGTTCTTACCGCCTCCTCCTCCACCACGCCCCGACTCCACGAACTGAAGCAGTTTCGGGTTGATGGCCTGCCGGGCCTCCGCCAGCACCCGGACCAGGTCTCGGGCCTGCCGCAAATTCCCCGGGGTGAAGAAGGTGTAGGCGGTCCCCTTGTTGGAACTGCGGGCCGTACGTCCAATACGGTGGACGTAGTCCTCAGAGGAGTTGGGATAGTCATAGTTGATGACGAACTTGATATCTTCCACATCTTTTGGATAAAAAGCAATTGGTTTGACAGCATGGAGGAAAGGGAAGAGATGTGATAATGTCACAGAGGGGGGGGGGGAGCTTCTGGAGAAAACATTCATCATTCTACCAATAAAAGAGCTGATGGTTTGTATGTAAAATGTATTTATTGTTAACAAAAATCTAAACAAAGAGTAACTTACCTGCTTTATCACCGAGAAAAAAAATCCAAATATTCATTTCAGTTAACCACCATTATAACTACTTTAAATCCTACATACAGTTACATCTGAAGTTGACTTCAGGTTTTTGACACCAAGCTGTACAGAAGTGATGTTAAGGCTTCATAATCTTCACATCGATATGAGTACTGGTCAACATGTGTGACAATTGGAGGCTGTTTGGTATTACATAAGACGTGGGGCTTTGACAGCACCTTTTCCCCTCCATCATGACAGCGGGAGGTCATTTCACCAAGCGAGACCTACTGAATAACAGAATAACCATGTGCCCGATTAAAACTGTGCTCTTCTTTTGACTACAATGTGAGCACGATGGAAGTACCTGAATGTATGGTGAGCTCATGGAGGAGTTAAGAGAAAGGGGCGGTGAGGTACTTACCCCCGTCATGTCGTTTTTACAAAGGTAGTGAATTCCCCCTGATCAGTCCTGGTTTATAGTGAGGGGCTGAGGGGGAGGGAGACAGGATTCATCCCTCACCAGCAAGGTCAGACGGGAGCAGAACCGTTAAACACACGCAACTGCATGGCAGGACCCTCCTCAGACCCTGGCCAGGACTGGATCCAGACGAGCCCATCTAACTCTCTCTCCCCTGTCTGTCTGCTTTTCGGGACGGACCGTTGGGCAGACATACAGGAACCTCAGGCTTCTCCCAAGGCAGGCTCGTTGGATTTAAAACTCTGACAATACTGGGCAGGGGGATCTTAGTTACCCAAGAGGAATAAGAGGGCTTTAACCCCTCTAAAACTAGCCAAGCTTCTACTTTAGCGTGACTGACGGGGAAGGGACAGCAGCGCAGACTGTTACAGCTGCCGTGTGCTGCCAAACCCTGGGAGGAGAAGAGGGGAAAAAAGAACAAGGATACGGTCATAGGGATCTTAGCAAGTCAAAGTCACTTTACTCATCCCCCCTTCTCACATTTATCCTGCCAACAAATTAGATCGCCATCACAGCCTTCCTGACAATTCAGCTGACGCTGTCCTACTCAAATGAATCATATCAGTGAAGAAAAGATTCACTATGCAATACAATTTATGATTGAATATGTGGAAGAACGGGTCATATGAGCAGCATCTTCTTTAAAATTTGTACTGCCACTATAAAGGAGAAGAAAAGGTGTGCAGCAGCAGCATCTGGCTCACACGGTGCCAAAGAGGAAGCTTTGTAAGGAACAAGACACAGACTGTAAACCCAGCAGGCCTGCAGCCTCCGCACTAGGGTTACGTTAAACTGTCAGGTTGTAATAGTGAGGGAGACACCACAGAGTGCGATACCCATTATAATATCAACCAGACAATAGTCAAAGGCAGATAATCATACATTTAATCTGAATGAGAAATGCATTTTGTTTTTACCCCGTTTCATTGGCAGACTTTGCCAGATATAGCCTGTCTCATCTGTAGCATACTTACCTATCGGTCAAATAGTCAGATTAACTCTGGTGAGTGTTACTCCATAAGTGTGAAATACACTTACTATTAATTATAGGGGAAAAAATATATATAATTCACAGAAGAATGCTGAAAGAATGAGCAAACAGACAATCATGTGAGAGATTGTGCAGCTTTAACTGTGCATGTGAGCAGACATACCCAGACCACGAGAGGCCACGTCGGTAGCGATCAGTATCGGAGCTTTACCACTCCGGAATTCTGCAGGACGAAACACAATGTTAGGAGGAACTAGACAAGGAAGTCCTCTGCACTCACTCAACGCAGGCGACAGTAAACAACTAACATGAAAACTAGTGCCTTCACCGATTGAAGAGCAGTCGTTGTGAGATGATATATGAACAACGGAGGGAAGCAGTATTACTGAGTTACAGTTATTCTTACCAACAAGGACCCAGTCTCTCTCTGGCTGGCTCTTGTCTCCATGGATACACATGGCTGGCCATCTGGACAAAGAAACACACAATGAAGATTAGCTTCTGTCTGTCAAATATTGATGATAATTCATCCTAGTACTAAAGTCATCATAGTCATTTCTCACCCTTCCCTCCTCATCCTCCTGGTGAGCTCATCACAACGCTTCTTCGTCTCCACAAAGATGATGGTTTTGTTCTCTTTCTCGGCCATTATCTCCTCCATCAGCTGAAACAGTCTGCAGACGGGGACAAACAATCGTAGCACATCAGCGGCACTGAGCTCGTTTTCAACCGTGTGAGAGGATAAGCTTGTGTTCTGTAATACTATTATAGTAGCTGATGAGATACTCATGACATAACGTCATTTAAGGTCACGTGTCTCGTCACTTACTTCTGGTCCTTTTCAGAGTCCATGCAGACGTCAACTATCTGCAGGATGTTGTGGTTGGCACTGAGCTCCAGAGCGCCAATGTTAATCTGGACGTGGTCCTTCAGGAAGTCCTCGGCAAGCTGCCGAACATCCTTCGGCCAGGTTGCGCTCCACATCAGAGTCTGTCTATCAGGCTGAGAGAGAGAGAGAGACAGACAGACACAGAGAGAGAGATGTAGAGAAAGCGAGAGAGAGAGACGTAGAGAGCGAGACAGACAGAGAGAGAGCGAGAGAGAGAGCGAGACAGACAGACAGAGAGCATGCAAATGATTTAACTTAAAATACTTTTATATTAATAAGTCACGTGATCATTTTAGATCAGCAGTCTGAACTGAGCTCACCCTGATTTGTTCGACTATCTTGCGTATCTGCGGCTCAAAGCCCATGTCCAGCATGCGGTCGGCCTCGTCCAGCACCAGGTAGGTGCAGCGCCGCAGGTTTGTTTTCCCACTCTCCAGGAAGTCAATGAGGCGACCAGGTGTGGCGATAACTATCTCAACACCTACAGTCATACAAGATCAACATAGTTTAAAACAACACATATTATTATTATTAGATGCTCAAGCGTGTGTGTGTGTTCAGGATACAGCTCTGTGTTTTTTCATTAATTAAATATTTTGTTCAACTTTATCAAGCTTGGAAAGTACTCATAAATACACAAGTACGTATATGTTGAAGATGATTTTTGAACTATTCTGAATCATCTACAGCACGTGCCCGTCTACAACCACACCCACCTCTCTCGAGGTCTCGAATCTGTGGTCCTTTGGGTGCTCCGCCATAGACGCAGGTGCTTTTGATACGGGACGCCCTGCCGTACTCGTAAGCGACGTGTTGAACCTGTTGAGCCAGCTCTCTGGTTGGGGCCAACACCAGACACTATGAAGAGCGGTCAAAGAGGATTGAGGAAGGTTTCGCAGGCTGATTGTACACCCACACTGTATGCTTTAGACAAACCACTATCTAATGTAACACAAGTGTAATTTGCACTCACAATTGGGCCATCTCCCCTCTCCAGGTAAGGCTGGTGGTTGATGTGCACAATAGAAGGAAGAAGATACTGCAGGGAAATAAAAATAAAGACAAACGGCAAGTAAATACTTGGATACAAGGAAATCAAGCAAACCAATTCATCCTTTCTAAAAACACATTTTTTTTTAGACTGTATTAAACATTGGGCCTCATGCACCAACCACTCGTGCAGCCAGGGATACCAGAACTACATGAATAAGCTTTTTATAACTAGATGTCGTCATCATGCAGGATGATGGCCAGGCAGCCTTACAGCCAGTGTCTTTCCGGAGCCCGTCTGTGCGATCCCCACCATGTCCCTCCCACTCAGGGCCACAGGGAAGCCCTGAGACTGGATTGCTGTTGGCTCCTTGAAGTTCAGATGCATCAGCACATCCATCACATGTTCTGCCAGAAGAAAGACAGTTACACTCTGGACTCTTTCTTTGGTTTCCATCTTTCAGACTTTCCATCCACAGCACAATCCCGAACACTATCAGTCGATATGTTCTTCTTGTAAACATACCACGAGTCCTTGTTAGACACATTTTGTTAACACTGCAACAGGTCATTTAGACCGTACAGACATTATAGTTTGAGTATTGTACGGTTTACTAACGAGGAAACTGCGCCTGGTGAAAAGCAGGGATCGCCTTTGGACAGCCAGTGCCTCTGACGGTGATCTCCTTCTTTCTGCGAAATTCTTCCGTATCATGCTACATATGATACAGAGAAAGAAGAAACAGACATTCGGACATGGTGAGAAACTACTCTGATTCAGCAAAAAAGTATGATTATGAGGAGACATTATATTCGGTTTAAATGTGTTATTGTTTGTAAATAGTCTGCAATTACAACACATATGATGATATATGATCGAACTCATTTTAAATGACGGGCATTGAAATATGCGTAACTCTGTCACTTTCCATGCATGTTTTATGATTCATTGTTTGTGCGTGCGAGAGTAAAAATATAACAATTTACCTGACTCATGTGTAGGACCTCCGGGTGTTCAGAATAGAAGTTCTTCTCAAATTTCGGAAGCTCGTCCAGGTTCCATTTCTTCTTGCGGAGACGCTCACCTGGATTCCCAAACTTCATAGGTGGGGGTCCATTGCGACCCCCACCCCCACTGCTCATGCCCCCAAACCGTGGCCTGAGAGAGAGAGAGAGAGAGAGAGAGAGAGAGAGAGAGAGAGAGATATAAGAGCACTGGGTAATGAGCAAGGCATTGCCTCCAGAAATGTGCTCTATAGTTGACACCGTTGCTTACATCATGCCAATAACTAACTGTCAGCAGGTTGTGTGTCAACACTGCATTTACTATTGTCACCAAAGAGATCATGTGTGATGATTTCTATCTGTATATTAAGTTTGTCTGTAACCAACGTCAGACTTCACTCTATGTGCAGACTTATGATTCTCATGAAGTCTTCACCCGAGTTGTAATTCTGTATTTAACCAAATCCACAAGCAGACTTTAAACATTAGACCTACTAATTTGCATTTGTAAATTATAATGTCCAGTTTATGAGTTCAAATGTCCGGATTAGGTACATAAACGTCACAGAAATTGTAGAACCAATTTAGTGTGATGATCTTCAGCTGCGTGTTTTAGGTGACAGTAATATTATTGTAGTCCGGAGGGTTCACCATAACCATATAATTGATAATTATGCTTAATGTGGAACATAAGAAACAAACGAGTAAACGTTTGTGCTCCAGCCAACAGACTCTGGTGTCAACACGACCTTTACCCGGTGCCGTGTTTAGTGGAAGCGACTACAACCTGGAGAGAGGCCTTCAGCAGGTTTGCGCCTCACTACTTCAGTGTTGCGTTGTTTGAGAGAATACTGCCATGGCTCCGGGTCAAACTGCCTGTGCCGTCTCGACATTATGCAACGAATGCTGTGGTGTATATATATATATATATATATATATATATACACACATATATATGTGTGTTTTATTTCCATATATGAACAACAAACTTAACGTTACCTGTCACGTCCGCGGTCGCCATACGAGGAACCCCCTCTCATGTTGACGAAAACAAGTAAACCCTCTCCGCGATATTTGTAACGTAGCGGTTAAGTTTTAACGTTTTCCACCGGTTTGTTTGCGTTGTGCGCTGTTAGAAAATGTTACTTTCGCTCGCAAAACGAGTCTATTAGCCGATAACTACGCAGAAATACGGAATGTGGTAAACGCTATTTGTATGCGTCACACGTAACGTTGGCTAAACTAACCCCTCCTCCCGTCTCTCCCCTCTTTGGCGACGTACATTCAACTAGTACTTCTACGTAGCTTCGTTTCGGTAGTACGGACACTGCGTACAAATGTTCCCTAAGTAATATACGTGAATATGATTCTTGTACGCATGCGTGCTTTTTAACAGAACTGGTGGCGCTGTGTCAGAAACTGCGAGTCTGGAACCGTAGAAGAAGAAAGCCTTCAGGAAGTTCCCTCCCATTATTTGGATTTTCAGTTACTGCGTTATGTGTAGTTTTAATATGAGATAGTAAGCCATCAAATATGAAGTTACGGTCTTTATAATTGCATGATTAGCAGCTGACATTAAAGTGGACCTTAAGAAAATGCCTTTGCTAATTCAAAATAGAGGACTTGACCGCATAAGCTCGACAGCGGAGCTGTTCGACAAATATCCACATTTACAGGTTTGTTTCATGAAAGTGTGGCTGAATGTAGCTTACTGAGATACTGTTAGCAGTAAGTATCGGTTCATCGTTTAATGACAGAGTGGCTGTTAACGATAAAGCGACATAGTTATTCGATTTATGAACGGGATTTGGGTGTGACATGTGGTGGCAGACAATAATCAGTCGGGGATAATACAACAAACTATCATGTGATTGTCTTACATCTAAAGAAGTGTAACGTTAGCGACTTGTAAATTCCGTGTGTGTGTCCTAAAATTAAATTTAAAAACTACTAAATAAGACATAAAATAGTAATACAACACACCTGATGGCTGACTTAATTGACAATATTTTAAAGTTCTGTCTGGTCTTAATTGAGAATCGTTTTGACGGTAACTTAAAGAGGGGGCGTTTATTGTTTTTACACTTCTAACATTTCAGTGAGTCGTTTCTTACATCTGTTGAAAGATAGGGCTACGTTTTCCTTTTCTATGACAAATATCTAACTAAATTCTGTTGTCAAATAATATAAGAGCAATAAAATCCCAAAGATGAAGGTTTACAGTCTGGTGTAACACTAATGATTAATATAGCCTCATGTTTTTTTTTTTTTTTTAAAGTAATACATTTATTTTTTACTTTTGTGTCACAGGAAAATGCAAGAACATTTAGCTCCAAACCACTTGTTGATGTCGACCCAAAGTGCCTGTTGTATGTCCAACAAAGAGAGTTTGCTGCAACAACACCAGCAGACGGTAAGTAGAGCCTCACGATGGGAACACATCATCTGAATATCAGCCCTTTGTGTTGCTCTGCTCACACACAGAGGTTATTGTGACAGTCCCTTATTATTTAGGAGAGTAGTCTTTAATGCAGTAAGTTCAGCCACAATACATGTTTTGACTCTTTCTTGATTGGGCCGTTTGGTATGAAATCTAGAACCACAACATTTGTTGGTGTCTAACTCCTAGATCGTACTCTAGGTGAACCGTTCAGCATCATAATGACGACACCTGCCTTTTGTTGTACCTCTCAGACAGCGTTTCAGTCATTGGATCTGGTGATGCCACCACCTGCCATCTGGTTGTGCTGCGACACACCGGTAACATTCCTTTCATTGGATTCATATTGTGTGCCTTATTCTAGCCTGTGTGTATAGTTAGGTAAGAGCATGTTTTATTATTTCTTAGGAAGTGGAGCCGTTTGCCTCGCTCACTGTGACGGCTCCAGCACCTGGTCTGAGGTCCCGCTCCTTGTGAAGGCGGTGACGTCACTGAGTAACTTCAGTAAGGAGGGCAGGTAGGAATCACACAGATAAACACGCATATAAAAGTGCACATCCTGTTCAGGGATCTTTATTTCCTTTTACTTTGCTTATCATCATGCAGACTTGAGCTCCATCTTGCCGGGGGATTTAACGATGAGTCAGAAACATCCCATAAACTCAGCCTCAACACACTGGGTATAGTCTTTCAAATTGCCTTGTGTCTTCTTCTAATGTTATGCTGGCAGCAGTTAAGCTTCGTAACATGTGAAAATACTCTTTTTGCTTTACAGCAGCGTTCCAGAAACTAAAAGAGGATATTCATCTGGAAACATGTTGCATCACAGGTAACTTTGATACTTATTTACAGTTGTTTACAAGTATTCTACCAGTTACGCCTTCGTCCGGTTTACCCTTCTGTTCTCTGTGTTTGTAGAAATGAATGACGTCGTTGTTGATGGAACTCACCGGCCTGTAGTGTATGGAATAGGTAAGTGATGAATATGCTACAGAGTGAGAGCAATGCTTTCATGGCATGTGTCCTCTAGTATATTGTTTATATATATGTTTATATATATATATATATATATATATATATGTCTGTTTCTGCACAGGTGTAAATGTTAAAACGGGGGAAGTGTTCCCTTCGTCATTCAATCATAAAGGACCTGCAGAGGAGCTGCGATCGGCAAGGACCTTCACTGGGGGACAGGTACTCTATGGACATTTTAGTATGGCACAAAAACATTCATCCAAAAACTCATAGCCACATGTTTAACTATTGTTTACGAGATTATAATCATCAACAAGAAAAGAATACTGATTTCCCCTAGAATTGATACTTTGGTAATTGTTTTATTCAGTAAATTTAAAAGGTCACAATGTCAATGCAAAGATCATTTATACAATTTAAGTTTTTCTTCTTCTTCTTGCAGATGGCAGACATATATGACTCAAGTCGAGGGCTTGTTAAAATCGGGCCTTGCAAGTGGTCTTCAAATTTGGATATTGCCTTCTGGTTGTCACAAAATGATGACACAATTTTAAAGGTAAAGGAATGTGGAGGTATTGCTCCTATAAAGACAATCTGCCTCATCCTTTGTTATAAGTCCCTATTGTCCCTATTGTTCATTCAAGCCCTCTTAAAACTCCCAAAATGAGTGTGAAGCAGCAGTCCAGCAGTGACATGATGCAGACTTTGACTCTGGTATTTCTCTCCCCTGCGCAGTACCTGTCCACCTCTCCGCTGGCTGAGCCGCCACACTTTGTCCAGCACATGAAGACCACCATCCAGTTCCTGTTAGACCACCCCAGCTCTGATAGCCTGTTCCCCGGGGGTCAGCCTCAGCTCTACCACAGGACTGAGAGGGGGGACTGGGAGAGAGCTGTTTAGTCATAGAGCTCTACTCGTATCTCTCACTGGACCTCTCCGTGGAACCTGACTGTTTTTTGCCTCTCAGCTCGATGGATACACTGTGACCCATCCACCCATTGTCTGTATTTTGTTCATTGTGTCTTAACATGGAGGTAGCCCCTGGCTGGAGCATGCTGTGTGTATGTTGAATGGCTCTCCAGACTCATCTGGCTGGTCCAGCGGAAAGAGTAGAGAAGGTACACGTGGTTCTGTTAGTGCCTGTAACAATTCATTTGGAGATGGTGTCAAGTCTGCAGCGTATACCATCTGCTGTGTTGCAGTAAGTCACGGTTAAAGTCCTACTATACTTGACATTTTTGTCTTATGTCCAGTTCAAAAATACTTACTTTTCCTTTTTGAATTTTTTTTTTTTTTAGCCCCAAAACTATGGTTGCACTTTTTCCAAAGCATATTTTTTTTCTATTCACTTCCTAACTTGCATGCATCCATCGTTCAGCGCACAGCAGTACACTCAAGCAACTTCTTCATTTATTTGCCTTCATATGTTTATCAGTTACTGTGTCGCCAGGAAGTCGAAGCTGGCCGATCCCAAGCAAGTTTTAACTCTGTTTTTCTGGGAGGTATTGCAATCTAAAACTAAACTTAAGTATGCCATGGAAATGTATGCACAATATGTATTTACTAGGTGGAAAATGTGAAACCATATGAATGATCTAAAGCGTGACCAACTCTGGCTGCAACTTGCTCCAACGACAATGAAAAATATGTTTATTTTGGCACTTAGTTTAAAACGTATTGCTGCGCTCTGCATTGTTAAAGAGTTGAGCGAAGTTTATTTTTCTCTACAAACGCACCTTCCTGATGACAATGGAATGTATTTGACTTCATCATTCCGCTGCATGTGTAGAGTAATCTGCAAGGGACGATGTGGATTGTTATCAAACAATATGATTTTGCTTTGTCTTTTTTTATTTTCAAGTGTTGTAATAAGGCCTTTTCATCAGTTGTGTTCAGGAGATTGCAAGGTGCTTAAAGCTCTCAGTGCAACTGATGAACATACCGTACATGTTGCTCAATAAATGTAAATGGTAATAACATAATGTATGTTATTATGTAATTTTGTCGACCTACATAGTTTGTCCATTAGGCAGCAGTATATTTATGAAAGATGTTCCATGTCTGTCCCTAGAGGTCCCTTTCCTCCATAACCATCTCTTGTGATAGTGTTTTATTATACTCGGGTTGAACCACCATCATGGCTGCTTCAGGTTTTCAGTTTCACTCTCCGCCCTTCAGCCGTGGAGCCAACTGTGTGTTAGTTTTACGTAAAAAGGGGCGTGGTCAAACTGGCAAGTTCCGTGCCGGGTATCGGACCGGATGGTGGGTGACAAGCAAGTAACCCATGATCTGAGATTGACTTTACTCACTACACTCCACGAGGAGTATAAACACTGTGCCGTGGATGAGCCTCGTGAGCCTTCTCCATCGAAACCCGGACTGGAAGATAGTGTTTGTTCTTCCACGGAGATATTCACACGGAGATGACGTCGGTGCAATGTGTCACATTTAGCTGACATTAATCTGAGCACCTTACATTTCACTAACCCCTCAACTGTGCCACAGTCCGTGTGACATCATGCGACAGGCGTTTTTGAGACAAGTCCGCCGGTTCCCGTGGGCCACCAACGTCACGCTGTACGGCGGTCTGTTCGCCGGAGGGGACTTCGTCCACCAGTGGTTCTCGCGCAGAGAGGAAATAGACTGGAGACACACGCGGAACGTGGCCGTGGTCGCGTTCTCTTTCCATGGCAACTTCAATTTCTTCTGGATGCGCTTCCTGGAGCGCAGGTTTCCCGGGAATTCCATCAGAATGGTGCTGAGGAAGCTGCTCCTGGACCAGACCACAGCGGCCCCGCTGGCCACCAGCGTCTTCTACACAGGTCATTGGGGGTAGTGGGACGGCAGGGCAGGGCCGGGACACCACGGGACGGGCAGTTAATGGTTCACTTCAAAACAGATCTTATAGCTGTCAATGTGTAACCTCTCAGTGCTGTGAAGATCAGTTGTTCACTGTCCTGTGAACCCTGAGCAGAGGTTACATGTCAGTCATCACTGAGCAGATAATGGAGGATAGATTTCATATTTTACATGGGGTGGAGTTAAGAATTGGAGGATATGAACCATCCATCACCAGGATTATTATTACACATGCATAATAAATGCTGAGAACTTACAATACAGTTGAATGCTCCCTTTACAATTCATATTACATTAGAGAAGTATAGTACTAAGTGTGGGCTTTCATTCAAATAGCCAAAAAATACAAACGAGTATATGAAAACACACAGTTACTCAGTTCAGTTTTTTAGTTTTAGTTTGCACAGTTAAAAAGAATACACAAATATAACAGAGATAAATCATATCACAGTTCAGGAAGAGGCAGAAAGCCCACTGGGCTTATTTGAAGCCTCCACCTATAAAATACTATAATTTCACAATATTATAGAGAACACGAAATGAATATACATAAGATATGACGATGTAATATCAATATGTCGCCAAAAAGCAAAGCGGAAAACCGGAACAGCAAAATGAATACAAATCTCATAACGCTAACGCTTAAGCAATACAGTGTTCCTGCTGTCGATATTGTTTTACAAGAGAATGTGTTGCAACATTTCTCCACATTTCCTCGGTGATTATTTATCCGACTGCTATGAGACACACACACTGTGTTCATCGTCCCCCTACACTGTCTTTAAACCTTCCATTTTCCAGGTCTCAGCTTCTTGGAGGGCAAAGAGGACATCTTTGAAGACTGGAGAGAGAAATTCCTGAATACGTATAAGGTGAGTTGGAGGCGAGACAGGCTGTCACGGTGTGTTCGTCCCGCTAGCAGCACCTTCAAGCATTGACATGTTGTGACGGTTAAGGAGAAGCTGTAGTGTGCACTCTGTGCGCACATGTCCAAAACCAATGCTCAATGTGTTTGGAAGGTTTTGTATGCAGGCGGTGGATTTATAATGTATTATTTGGTTTTGGGAGTTCTCTACCGATAGCTCTCCTGGTGTCACTAAAGTTGAAGGTTTATGTTTTTGTCATTGTCGATGTCAGCTGTGCCAGTAAGGGTTTCTGTAAGTGTTTCATTTTATTTATATGTTTGTCTCTCTTTTCAGACGGGGCTTATGTTCTGGCCATTTATGCAGGTAAATATGAACATGGTCGTTGACCCGTGTAAATAATACACAGTGAAGACAATCTAAGCTCAAAGGTCCACTAATGATTCTTAACTCACACAACGTATTGATGAACCTGATTCGTGGCTCAGTAAGTGGACCTTTCAGCTCAGATTTTTTTTCTCACCATTAAAATCTTAAATTTCCTTTATCGTCCGTTAATTTCTGCAGCTGCGTTATGTGATAATGTGATACATTCTGAAAGACAAACCTGCCAATCAAAACTTGAATATCATAATAACACAAAGCTGACAGAGTGAGTGCTTGATACTGCAGTTTAAATGAGAGAATAGAGGTTCTGTATGACATCTAACAACAGAATCTACTGCACAATAAAAAACATCTGGATTGTGTTGCGATATGTGAACATGTGATGTACCGGTACGCTGACATAGACACACGGTAATCTTTCTCTGCCTCCCTCAGTTTGTGAACTTTGCCTTGGTGCCTCTGTACGTGCGGACCACCTTCACCGGCTGCTGCGCCTTCGTCTGGGCCACCTTCCTCTGCTTCTCACGCCAGAGCGGCGACGGCACGGCCGAGGCTGCTCTGGCGTGGATGTTCTCTCCTAAAGAGGATGAAGCAGAAGCCAATGACAAGATAGATGCTTCCAAAGAGGGAACAGTGACATCTAAACCTACTGGGAACTGAAGTATGTGGAATCAGTGGTGTTGCGATGGAGGCGGACCAAACACACAGAGTTCAAGCAGCAGGTTCAGTGGATGGCAGTCCTGTCTGTGGTTGATGTTGCACTATCTCTGCCAGGGTTTGAGTTGAAAGTCTCACTGCGGTTAAACTATATGGGACCCACATCACGCTCTAAGGTGCTTTGGGAAACAGCGCCCAGCAAATGGAATGTATATACATTAAATTATTCAACACGCAGCACATCACCTCCGTCCCACAGACAAACATCACCGTGCCATATTTATCTTCAGGCTTTCTCTTTTATATACAAATGCTTTTAGTCTTGTGTTTTCACATTTTAAACTAGAGAGTTGAGAGACGATGATATTCAATTGATTCATGAGGACTTCTATATCTGGGAAGGAAGCTGTGATCATGGGCGTGTGTCAGGTTAATGTTCCACATTCTCCTGCTCTTCATCTAGAAACAGGAATAGAAAGTGGAGTGTGGAGTGGCAGCTAATCTAATTTATTGGCTTAGACTTTTAATTTCATGAAATTGGGCAAATTTCTAAACATTTCAATATCAGTTTCTCTAAATTAGCACAAGCGGTAAGACAGAGGGCCTCATCTCTGAGGGCTTTCTGCTTTGGTTCCAGTTCACACAGAGGTGCTAAATACACATGCACACAGGTAACAACCCGTTAAATGTATAGAGAATAAACTCAAAAACACTAGAGCAGATATGAAAGTACATGACTGATTCCCACGTGTTACTAGATATTGAGTTACTGCTGAGGATTACTGAGGTTCTTTTGTCCCAGACATCCATCTCCTTGAATGTGGAAATGCTGCCTGCCTGTTGTAATACTTTATGTTAATCCGGTACTGTGGAATGCTCTCCATTATATCTCTTTGCGTCATTTCCTAATTTTTCAATACTGTTTGCTATTTCATCTATTTTTGATTTTGACCTCTCAGGGAAAATGTTCCTTTGGTTTCATCGCCTGCAGTGATTCCTGAAAACTGGGTTGCAACGAAACGCCAGACGCCTCCGCCAAGCAGATTTCTATAGAGGTCATTTTTATAAATAGCTCAGTACAAGAGCTGACTGTTATTTCTATACATGGAGTTTGAAAGGTTTATCTCTTCTGTGGCAGATATTTAAGAAAAGAAATATTTCATTCACTTGTGTTTATGTTTTGCTGACATGGTGTCACAGAGAGATGTGTCTATTTTTCCCCCTGATGCATTTTAATCTAGTTGCAGTTATGCTTTTTGAAGCATATGCAAGAGACGCTGTGTAATAATATTACATAACTGAATGACATTAACACAACAATAATCTTTTAATAAGAGTTTTTGTTTCTATTTGTTATGTGTATGCTGATGTGCTACACAGGAACTCAAGGATCAAACCAATGAATATTCCCTTTGTTCAGTTCAGCGACTGAAGACGGTAATATCACTAACTCATTTAAAGATGTGCACTTTTACATTTCTGTCTCAATTTCTTTTGTTAGTCTGGATATCACAAAGATCTATCGGTGCTGTTGACTGTATATATAAATGATTTTATCACACTGTTGTAGGGATAAATAATATTTATTGTTGAATAAACTGAAAACATCCCATTGACTCATTGTGTTTTTACTGAGCATACATCTATCTACATTGTAAAACAGACCCACAGTGAATATCACACGTACGTCCTCTGCTACTCTGCTATCAGAAGTGCATCCTGGGTGTGTTTAGGGTTGTGTTCAGACACAGATATTACTCATTTGTCTGTATGACTTATAGTTTGCAGCTCTGTCTGCATCTCATGTGGGAATATATTGAGAACAACACGTACTTAGAAAGGCCTGCTGCTGCTGCTGCTGCATGCAAGCTCTCTGTGTCTCCACGCTCTGTTTTATCTCTTCCTGCTTCTAAGACTTAAAAAAGGAATAAAGTTTCTAAATTTGTAACAGACGGCTCAAACAGACTCCATGTTGAATCAAATGTTGCCATATGCAACCAGACCCCCTTATGAGGAAACAGCTGTCACTTATCCTTTCGCAGTTATTTCAGCCTGTCAAAAAAACAGCAGAAGTACACTTAGGAGACAAAAGAGCTGTTGCCCCATATAGCTTTAAAAAAAACAAACGTTTTTATTAATAACAAATAAAATATAACCAGGCAGAAACAGATTCTTGGGCAGACTGATGATAAAAAACTCCAGAGCAACTGTGTGCCTGTTGTTTTATTTTTAACATCATCTCGGTGCTAGTGGGTGTCTCCCAAGTCTTCTCCCATCTCTGCCCGCACTGCGCATGCTCCCTGGATCCTTTTCTCCATCCACACGTCGAGGGACTTGAAAGCGTGAATAAAGATGCTCAACGTCTCGGGTCGCTGGAGCCTTGTCACCGGGTGAAACTGAGTTATCTGGAAGGACGCGCACAGCAGAACCGAGTAGATCTAACTGAAGGAGTCGTTGTATTCCGGTTTCACCGCGCGGGCACTCCACCGACATGGAACTGAAGAAATCTTTTTCGGACACCGAGCGCGCGCTAAAAAGCTACGGCGCCGTGTCGGAAACGGCATGGACAACGGACAAAGGTGAGCGTCATGTATTAGAATACGATGTTGTTTTGCCGTCCGGTGGTCAGGAACGTTAACGTCTCCGGTTTTTTCAGCATATGTTTCACTCGGCAGTTGGCGGTGAAATGGTTAACAGCCCTACATGACTCACAAAGGTTTGGGATGGAGGCTATCAATAGCGCTGCCGCTGTTAGTGCTGAGTGGCCTGTTCATTCCCCGACATGCACACTGAGGGGTTCACGCTGTTTGTGAATGAATGTGGGCCAAGGAGGAGTAAACCACAGAGACAGCAAAGCCCTGCGCAGTAGGAACTTGTGCTCATTTGATTGAGCATATGGGCTGATGGAAGATGAAGCAGTCCATACTGGTCCTCTGATCAGTATAGCTTATAGCCTCTACTCTGGATTTCACATTTAGAAGAATATTTGAGTTTGTGGCTCAATGAAATTTCATAAAATAACTTTCAGCTATTTTTTTTTATTGTTCTGGGGCTCAGAACAATACAACAGACTACAGCAGCCTCGATGACTATAAAGCTGAGCAAATGCCTCGCTAACATAATTCCAGCTAATTAACATTGGAAGCAGGAGAGCTACTGAATTGGATATTTCTATTATTTCATCATGCATCTATTTCATTTGATAGATATATAAATGAAATTATTTCACTGTTGCAATGTGTCAGGTCCCGATGTCATGTTTTTACATTAAAAGTTTGTTTTTTAAACCCACACCCCAAAACCTGAAGATATTCAATTGGAGTGTTATAAAAGAAAAGCAGCAAATTGTCACTTTGAAGAAGCTGGAATCGCAGCATGTTTTGCTTGATGCATGACAATTATTAGCAATTAGTATTTTGTGGATTGACTTGTTTAGTCAGCTCTAATCTACACAAACTGCTGCCTCAAAAGTGACTGTAAAGCTGAAGAAGCACAGTTTCAACAAAAATCAATGTTACTAGTGGCAGAGCCGTTGTTTTCGAGGTTTGTCCCGTGTGATGACAGGCAATGAATGACGCACTTGAGATGTGTCCTGGTTGGTTCCTCTGACGGTAACTCATCACAGGAGAGCAGGGTGGGAAGAAACTCCAGATTAAGTCAGAGAAGAAGAAGAAAAATGGAGTAGATATTTTTAAACACAAAATCAGCTATTGCTCTCTCTCTCTCTCTGTCTCTCTCTGTCTCTCTCTGTCTCTCTCTGTCTCTCTCTCTCTCTCTCTCTCTCTCTCTCACTGTCTGTGTGTGAGTGTGTGTCTACCACAAACAAACACACACACACACACAGCCCCCCAGGTTTATCTCCCCTCTTAATCACTGCCTGTGTTTCTATTGTTTGGAGGCGGTGTGGGGTCCGGAGGCAGCCCCCCAGCAGCAGCAGTGTGTGTATTGTGACTGCAGATTCTGACATCTCCCTGTTGTCGAGCCCCATGTGGCCGCTGCACCGCACCGATCCTTTGCTCTGCAGGCTGTTTATTCCTCATTAGCTCATAATCCTCATGTACATTGATGATCCACATTGTTTTAATGAAACAGGGCTATTCAAGCTGATTAATTAACTGCGTGTGTGAGGAGACTGATTCATATTTGCAGCTGATGACTTGTGCTCGGTGGACAAGCTGCTTTTAATTAGGAAGTAGTTGGTTCCTTGTAATGTCTTCAATGCTGAGTAGTGTGTGCGGCTTGCTCAGATGAGGTGGAGCTGTTAAGACATTATTGAGCTGGCACTTGCCAGCAGTCAGGGCTGAATGCAGCTTGGTCTTATTGATGGTGAGCACGTGGCCGGAGTGTGAAAGGAAAAACAAGACACAAAGAGAAAAGGGAAATAAAGAAAGAAACACTTTAGCTCCTGCTGCGTTTTGCATTGTGCCGCAGTTCAACGGTATAAAGTTTGATTTTTGGGCGTCAGCGTCTTTTGTCAGCAGACACGTCGGGTGATGATTCAACATCAGCGAAGCGCAAACAATCCGAGCCCTCCTGTGCAGACTTCTGTCTGCTGTGGTGAGTCAGCTCTGTCCTCAGCAGGCATCCATGAAAAGTACCACAAATACAGACTGCAGTTTATGTTGCTGCAGGAGGAGCTGATCAGTCCTCTAATCTTACAAGACACACACACAAGTGTGTGTCCATATGGATATTAATAATAATATAAGCAAAAACAATCTCTGGTTGCATCCTCTCAAATGTGTGTTTATAAACTGAATACCTTTAGCTTGTGGACAGTTGATTGGATGAAACAAGACATTTAAAGGCATCACTTTGGACACCTTGGGCATTTTTCACTACGTTCTGACATATTTTAGACCAAAAAATAACTGCCATCAATCAATAATGTGTTTTTGGAGAACGTTATATTTCCATAATGGGCAGCTTGTGAGAGACTGAAAAATAGCTCGAAATGAAGCGGGTGAGGCTGAGATATCCTGACGAAGCCTCTAGTATGGGTCACACCCGAATATTCCTGCAACCTACACTTCCCATAATGCAGCTTGTCTTTAATGACACCCTTAGACCCTCCCTGCCTGGTTTACGCCAGCATGTCTTTCAAACTCCACGTCCCCAGTTTGTAACACAGGATTTCTGTTTAAAGTTTAAAGTGTGAAAATAAAACTGAGATTTTTAGTTATTTTCTCAAGCTTGACAAAGCTCCTTCCAGAGCCGCAGAATTATATATAACTATTTCATAGGCTGAGTCTTCATGACAAGTCAACTCATTTTCACGTATAACATCGGTGGAGTGCTCCGTTAATGATTTGCAATGAGGATACAGACGGGAATATTCGGAGGAAGAAAGCTTAATGACTTGCAACAAAAACATGCTAAAGAGGAGGAAACCAGGACAACTCGCCACCATCGACTCCCTCAGTTCTGCATTCATAGATTTGTTTCTTCAAATCAAGATTCATGGTTGCTTGCATGTTGTTTGGTGCCGATGAGGTCGGTCTGTTGCAGCACTTGCAGTGGATAGTGCATTGATCAGTGCAATGAGTGTCTGGTCAGTGTAGTGTTTGTTAATTGGCAGATAAGGAGAGTGTGGGGTCAGGGAGGAATGAGCCAATCAGCAAGAAGCCACAGCTGCTCATTGATCCATGTCAGTGTATGAAGGTATGTCTTTCTCTTCCTCAACAACCTTCTGCTTTGGAAAATAATCTCAAAAAGCCAGTATTACATAAGAACGGGCTGTCTTCTTAGTCGACTAACTCATAAGATTTTGTGGACGAATCGATTAGTTGATTTAATCAACAGAGTTTCTCTACAAATAATCATGCAAAAGCGCCACTTTATAATATTATAATCTTGTGTTAGAGATGTGCTCATACGTTTCTTTGAAGTCATTCAGGCAGAAGCATAGAAAATGACTAATCGATTAAGTAGATCTTCGCTGACGAAGACCAAAGGGACTGATTGGGGGCAGCTCTACTTAAATGCTACTTTTCTTCATGTCACACACATTTTCACACCACGATCAGTGGCTGAAGCTTCGTGCCTGAGGCTCTCTTAATTACACATGCTGCTTCTCTCCAAACACCATGTTCTTGGCTGACGTGAGATGACGCGTCACAGGGAGACGAGGTGAGAAATGTGTTTGGCAACATGCTGACACTGTGAGAAAGTTTTGAAAGTGACAAAAAAAAATGGAACTCATGGATGAATTTGTAACATGAAATCAAAGGAAAATGATGTTATAATTAACACCTTGAATTAGATACAAGCGATGTGCCACCGCAGTCATTTGGTCATGTGCCGGGAGTTTATCTTTAAACCAGAAGATATGCTTCAAACTCTGAAGCACTGTCCGAAGTGAAGAGAAGTGCGTAACAGAAAAGTCTAAAGCAGAGCTGTCCTGACAACGATGCTAGATGTTTATTCCTCCTGTCTTTACAGACTCCTGTTCCCCTCCTGTCTCTCTTATTCCTTCTTATTCACATTAACTCACCCCTGCCTTCCCTCCCGTCTCTCCCAGGTCATTCAGATGTGTCCATGGCAGAGAGCACCATGGCTCCAGAGGAGATCGAGGTGGAGATGGCTCGTATCCAGCGCCTGCGAGAGGTCCTGGTACGCAGAGAGTCAGAGCTGCGCTTCATGTGAGTTGCCGAACTGTCTGTGTTTTTGTAACACCAAACGTAATCGAGAGTGACAAAGACTGAGTCGACACAGTGTCATAACAACTCCTGCTGCTGTCCTTGAGTGGATAATGAGGGTTTCTGTGTTGACACTCTCATAACACACTGCGAACACACTCAAGAGTTCTTTCTTTGCGGTATAAGTTGTGTTAAGATACTGTTCGATACTGAGAGAGGCAGCCTATTTGTCTATTGATTGTGCAGAGGGCTGGACATGCCAACAGCAGCTGATGAGTCACCATGATGAACTCATTTGGCTCCTCATCAACATCAGCCTCAAGGATTATGGATCAGTGTTTGGGAAGACATGCTGTGTGTATTTCCTCTCTGTCTAAACCCTCGCTGCATCTATAATGGGAATGTTGTGTCTGCGAGTACTGAGTTTCGCAGCACATTTTTAAAGCTACAATCCGGGGTGTCATTGTAATGCTCAATACAGACTAGACTGAACCCTTTCACGATAATAGTTTCTCCATGTATTTCCGATGTTCGTTCATGCCAACTGTGCGCATGAATAACTGAATATCCAGCAGTAAAACGCTTCACATACAGCGAGTGAGCAAATAGGACTTATAGGACCATCGATACGGTACTTAGATATTGTAAAACTACATTAAATACAGTTCAAAATACTAAAATATTCAGTTTACTTCAGTGTAAGACAAGTGAATAGCAGCTTATCTCATTGACGCTGTTTTGTCACCATATCTTGTTGCTTTTGATCTAATGTGAACAAGGAGAGAACTGCATGACATTATTAGGAAGTGAATATTGCATCTTCATAACAAACTGAATCGACAGTGTAAATTCCAAATGTTTATTTTCATGTCTTGAAGTGTATCAGATCGTCTCCGCACTGTGACACGTCGGAGAGAACATGCACTTTGTGGGTCATTACACGCGTCACATCGGTAACCGATGGACGACGTGTCGGATGAAGCTGATACACATCTTACAAAGCGCACTCAGTTGATTATGTTGATTCACACGCTCACTTTAAAGGCTTCATTAGGCCGCCACGCTGCGTATTGCTTTCGTCTCTGTTGTTGTCAAGCTCCGTGTGACTCAAGTCGAGCCGTCACACACACACACACACACACACACACACACACACACACACACAGTAGCAGATGGAGTGTCAGAGTGCAGAAGCTGCTGGAATCCACAGAGAGCATTGAGAGAGTGAAACACAAGGCAGAAAGAGGGAGAAAAACAGAGAGAAAGGAGGAGAAAGAAGCAAAAGGGAGGGGTCGGGGGGGGGGGGAGAAAGAGGAGGGAGGTGTAAAAAGGAGCAACGGGGAAAAATGCAGAGGGAGGAGGAGGCTGTGGATGAGTCATAGTCTGATCTATCACAGACAGAATTAAATCTGTGGAAGCTGTCACTGCTCTGCAGAGAGAGAGAGAGAGAGAGAGAGAGAGAGAGAGAGAGGTCAGGATTTAGGAGGGAAGAGGGGAAAATGCGTAGGCCCCGAGGGTGAGACGTCAGGGCTGCAGGGGGCTCAGAGAGCAGCGCGGATTGATTCGTGCTGCATGTTTTCCGTCTGCACGCCCTCTACTGATGAGAGGCACGTCGGGACCCGAGGCAGTGATGTCTTAATGACAAGGACAAGAGCAGATTGTACAGCACGCCACCAGGGATTAGTCGTCAAATCACTCATTCAGGCAGAATGGTTGATTAATCGTTTCAGTGATTTATTAAGCAAACATGCCAAGAATTCCCTTTCAGGTTTGCAAATGGTAGGATTTTAATATGTATAATTGAATATCTTTGGTTTCATAGGAACCCTTTCAGTCCCCCGCTTCTATGTAAGTCTTATGGCTACTAGTTTCAAAATAAGATGTTTTGCACATTTTCTTTTTCTGAAATGAGCAGAATTATTTGAAACAAAATATGTGATGAGAAAATTACATTTTACAACATTTAACTCAATTTAAGGTAAGGACCAGAGCTACTGATGTGTTAATTGTCCATCAGACCATCGAACAGTTGGTTCGAGTGAATGTCTTGATTACAAATAAAATATATATTTTTTAGCCATCCCTTGTCTGGATGTTTCTTTTCATCTGTGTTATGTAAGCAAAATATTCAAGTTTAAAAATGAATTTCTGTGTTTTGGAACGAGAAGAACTTTTCATTTGATCAAAAATGCATCAAATTGGAGCCTCGATCCCTCCCACAGATGTTCCAGTCTGCTTTTCTTCCAGAGTTCACCATCCAGTACAACTCTGCCTAACATCATTCCAATCAGATGAAATCATATCTGTGTCCTGTGATCTGATGGAGGCCAGTCGATTCACTGCTTTCTTTCTGTTTCTAGGATGGATGACATTCAGCTCTGCAAAGACATCATGAGTTTAAAGCAGGAGCTGAGACAGATTGTCACAGTGCCAGGTACAGTACACACACACACACACACACACACACACACACACACACACACCTTTAATCTTCTGAAGAAAACCAGCTGTAAGCATTTCAGGAAATAAAGCTCTCAGAATTGATCCTCTGTGTGCATAACTGTCCACGCTCCCTGTTTGGACTCAACCAAAAATAGAGTTTTCAGCAGAAAGTGCTTCTGTTTGCAGCTCGCCCGAGCCCCATAGCCTCAGACGGCTTCATGATTTATAGGAGGAGTCGTCACGCTAAACTCTGTAAGATGAATCATATGTCTCAGGCACGAGGTGGAGTTATAAAGGAGAGATAATCAGACACACACACACACACACAAGCACACATGCGTCCGCATGGTGAAGGCAGTATGAGCTGATGGAGACTTTGCAGGCAAGGCGTCCAAAATGAATTTCAGTAAACAGACATTTTTACTCCCTGGATGCTCTTTTGAGTACAGAATCAAATATTGGTTTAACTCCACACTCAGGTCCAGTGTTGTCTGTCGGCGTCTCAAATGTGCTGAACATGGTTCACTGACGTTAAAAGCACCACACATAGCAACACACAGCCCAAGCTCTGCATGCAGAGAAGCAGGCAACAAGAGGACAACGCTCCTCCTCGTCCTCATCCTCGTCATCGTGTGTGTGAGCAGGAGGGGCTGCTGTCGTGTTCAAGGACACATACAGCAACAAGACACATGTATGTCCATTAGCTGTTCTGGGAAGGGAACAAGTGACCTGTCAATCACAAGGCTGCTTCTTTTTTTTTAACCACTTGCAATATTACCCTGCAATGTAGAGAGTGAGGACAGAATAACAGAAACGCCTGATAATGTTGTGGAGCTTATGTTTGAATGAATGTTGTCAGAAAGGTTTACCTCTGGGGTCATTTCTGGAGTCCTGATTTGTGTTGATTTGATTCATGGCTGCAGTCAGGATTTTAAAAATACTGAGACCATGAATCCTTCCAGTGCAACCCCCTCAGACCCCCTCAGACCCCCCTGCTCCAGTAACAAGAAAGAGAGCTGTCAGGACCATCCCCGTTTAAAGTGATCATGTAACTTTTCCTGAACAGTGGCAGCTGTGTTTATTACGGGATAATGTGAAGTATGTAGCTAAACAGCATTCGTAGAGAAATGACTCGGTAAAAACAGTAAAAACAGTAAACAGATAAATCGATCTGAAAGGGACCCTGTGGAGTTTGTTTGATTTAGTTTTTACCTCTCTTACCTCAAGTAGTCAAATCTAAATATATATTATATAAATTACAGGAATGTGTTAATACAATATTAACCATTTGTTTGTTTGTATTGTGGTAAAACCACCAAATTCCCAAGAATTTTTTTTTTGACCTCATTGTCCTCAATGGTGGCTGCAGCTTTGATTGCATTATGTTGTGAAGCGTTCCTATTATTGTGTCCGCCCCCTATGCATTTGGGATTAGCACAAAACTGCACACTGTCACATAAAAAGTGCCCCTCGCTGACATTCCCATGAGCCACTGGGGCCTCATGTATGCTGTTGCTGGGGGTCTGGCAGCCCATTGCTTCACTCCAGCACAATGAGAGTCACGTGACTAACAGACCCCGCGGCCTCTCTCTACGGCTCCTCTGACATTGGGATTCATACAATGTTGCCGTGCTCCCGTCAGATTGTTCGGGGGGGGGGGGGGGGGGGGGGGTGGGGGGGCGGACACACACCACATATAGCTGCACTGCTCCACTTCGTGTCCAGGCGGGAGAAATGGCTGATGTTTGCAGTCATTTTTCAAACCCTTTTTACCAGCCAGCCTCGATACCAGCAGTGTCAGAACACCTATCTCTGCAGCTGTCTGTGTGTGTGTGTGTGTGTGTGTGTGTGTGGTGTGTGTTTGTGTGCGCACTTTGGTCTGTTTATGTCTTTTTTCTGTGCGTTGGAGTGTGAAGGTTAGGAAAGTGAGACAAAGCAAAGCGGATTTTGCATTTGTAGATCTCTGACTGAATACAACAACAAAAACAGAGCTCTCTATCATTTGCGTAGTTTAGTATTTGTTATAAATGATACATGAGAGGAGAACTATGGGTCTGTTTGTCATGTGACTCAGTGTTTAGGAGCCAGCTGGCTTTGCTCTAAGGTCAGCTGCAAGTAGCAAAATGTACGAACCCTGCTTTATATTTCATGCGAGGATGTAGAATATTACGTTTTCAGTTCAGTCCTCTCGTCGTTGCATCTATTTATGTGACTGTCATGTTCCGTCTTTGTTTCCCTCAGAGAAAGAAAAGAACAAGAAGCACAGGCAGCGGGAAGAAGAACTGATCCTGAAGATTCATAAACTGGTGCAGACGAGGGACTTCCTGGTCGACGATGCAGAGGTGGAGCGATTGAGGTAGAGCGCTCCCACATACGGGCACAGTCAATATCCGGGAGCTGACTGACTGTTTACTCAGACAGCATTGGGTTGAACTGCATCCACCGTTTGTTTCTCCATTTGAGAGACATAGGATGATTGAGAAACAGCAGGAAGGAGACTCATTAGGGTAAATGTGAGCGTGACTGAAGGCGGGGGACCCGGTCACTTCATCATCACAGCACTGCCTGCTGTGTGTGTGTGTGGGAGGCTGACTGATGACCATGGCTCTCATTGTCATTTTACATCCTCCTCCACCTCCTCGAGTTAGTCCTTACGATGCACTGAGTCACCGTGGAAAAGTGTGCAACATTGTGATATGTTGTCAAATCAAATCATGTGTCTAAAGTCCTCTGTGAAAAAGGCCCATTAAAGCATAAAGCTATTACTGTACTGACTGCATTGTTTTCAAACTGCTGACTATCTGACTCTTCTTAAACTCAGGGAGCAAGAGGAGGACAAGGAGATGGCCGAGTACCTCAGACTGAAGCTGATGCCTCTGGAGAAGAAGCTCAAATCCTCACAAAGTGAGTCACCGCGTTTGAAAAAGAAAGAGGGGCACGAGTGTTGTTTCACTTCCAGGGTGTGATCATCTCTTATTTTCCTCTTTCTTACATGTCAAGATCCTCCAAAGCCTAAGAGACAAATCCCAGAGCCACCTCCCAACAAGCCATCCATCACCAAGTCCGGAGTGGCCATCATTAAGGATTGCTGTGGAGCCACCCAGTGTGCCGTCATGTAGGCTAACTGACACAGTTCTCTGTGACCTCGTCGTCCTCGCGTCAGAAACCACACACACTCGCATCACATCACATGCCATACATCGCTTCCTGTGGCTCAGTGAACCTCGGTTAACCGCGTTTTCCCCTCGAAACTGCTCAGGAATCAGGTGCGTAATTGAACCGCGGATACAGTTTCAGCCGCAAGAGTTTGGGAGCTGATCCCGAGTCAGTGCTCGAGGGAAACTTTACAATGTGGCGCTTCTGTAAGTGAAGACACTTTGTCCACAGTGTACATGAAGTAAAGGGAACTGTAAATTAACATTCAATAAATACGTGTCTTAAATTAGAATCAGATTGGGTCATCGTGTAATATTCCTTTAAAATAAGGTGCATGATCATGTGATCAATATTAAGAGAAGCATTTACAGAACTACAAGCACAATGTCCACAAAGTGAAGTGTAAATGCTGAGGTTCTCTGTCTGACAGGAAAATATATATATTGTCAAGTCATGTTTGATAACGGGTATTTATTCTTCCATTTCATCCCTTTAACATCAACCAGAGAACTTCTTTCACCTTCAGGAGACTACAACTAATGTTCCATCACTCAGACAAACAATTAACAATGAAATGATTGGTATATAGATGCTAGAGAGCGATGGCAGCCATGTGGATGCTTCTTCTTCTGGAGCAGAGCAATATGTTTGACTCAACGCTGCTACACAGTTGTCATATTAGATGCGAGGCCATGTGTTTGCATTTCACTCTACTGAAGAATGCTTCCTGTTACCGACACGCCACCTCATGACCCATTTCTGCAGTTTCCACTCGTTCATCTTTGTTAACCTTGTACATGCAACACTTATGTAGTCAACATGGTAACGAGTTTATTTATTCCCCTCAATGGTCCACTAAGCTGCTCATTCCCCAGCGTCACATCACTAACGTCATCTCAGCCATCAGCAACCGGGAACCATTGACCGTCGTAGTATGACGTCGTTATTATGGACATTTCTGACAACTTGCATCCTCTGAATTTAGTCTTGCGTTTTTATGATAAACACCAGGAAATGAATGCAACTCTTGTAAACGCCTCCAATAAACTGTATGTTTGAGTGTATTTAGGACTTCAGTGACTCGTCTCATGCAAAGTGTTGCTGTGTCACTTTACCTTCCTTCTGATAACTTAGCGTTCTGTAGTAGTGAATTTATGAAGGTCCTTATGTTGAATATTGAACAAATATGCAGAATATAAGCTGAAACTACCTGTACATACATGTTTAATAAAAGAGCATCTTTCAGGAACACGCTGGGTCATTTTATTGAGTAATCAGATTACACACACACACACACACACACACACACACACACACACACACACACACATGAACACACACACACACACACACACACACACACACACACACACACACACACACACACACGAGGCAGAATTGATGCTTGTGAAATTTATTAACAGAAATATATATTTTTTGGTCCCTTCAACATTACAGTGACATTTAGTGTGGCGAGGCAGTAAAACTGTGACGGGGGGGGGGGGGTGGTGTAGAGAGGACACAGTGAGACGTAAACACAAAGTAAACGAGGCGGGAGGAGTTTAAAGGACACGACTGAACAAAGGAAATGTTTTCTTGTTGTGAAACGTGAAAACGGTTGAAGCGGGATCAGATCCAGTTAAACGGAGGTAAAGACACAAAAACACATTTCAGCCCCACAGTCCAATACCTCATCTTCACATTTGGATTTCATGAAACAAAACTATGCAAAAGTGCATATTTTGATAGGTGCAATAGCTTTATCTAACCAGAGAGAGAGAGCTAAACAGAGAAGTTAAATATATTCACGAGTTAGTTGCCACTGCAGTGCTCGGGGGGGGGGGGGGGGTTTTTGCTCAATTTCACAAAAAGTAACACATCCGTACTGCCAAAGTCAAATTATTTACAGCCCCTTTCTATCATTATCAAGTCTAAATCCTTAACTATTCATCCCTTAATCAAAGACAGTAAAACACTGCAGGAGAGACCTGAACCCCAACAGCCCCAATTAAAAACATGTTGATTGGCATTTCAGTTATTTTGGCAAGTTGTCAGGTGGAATCTCTCAGCTTTAAAAGGCTTTTCATACCAAGTCAAAATGAAGTCTGGAAGGGAACTTATTAACGCTGCTGAAGAGGTAAACACTGTACCGGGACACGAACTGATTAAATGGGCTCTTACCCATTCGTGAGCCTTTTTCTCTCTGAACACAAACAACAACCCGCAGACTTCAGCGGCGCCTCGGTCGTGCCAACTCCATGGCAGCAGACATTATTTGGTTGCAATTCAGTAGCCAGCAGTCTTGTAAACACTTGAGACGGAGGAAACGTGAGACAACGACACACATCAGCAAGTAAAAACTCCTCTATGTAAGATGTGGGCGACGGGGGAAGACACGATGGCGATTCATTTGGCACCGTGGCAAATACAAGCCATTGTAAAAGCCCGGCAGGTTCCAGAGAGCCGCAGAGGGCCTTCTCTGTACACGTCAGTCTGTTCAGGAGGCTGCCGAGAGCCTCCATGGTGCTCCACAAACAGACCACCGCCTCCCGACCCACCTGTCCCCTAAAAATCACACAACCAATCACCTCGTCATTTAAAAATCAAAAAACTCGGGAGTGCTCACTGCTCCCCTCTTCCAACTCAGGCACGGACATCACCACAGACACAGAGCCGACCCGCAACAAGGTTAACTCTAAAAACCTTGAGCGTTTATGTGGCTACTGCAAAGGTGAGGCCAACTCCAAAAACCCCTAAAACATGGTGGAAATAAAAGACTGATCTTAAAGAATGTCTTAACATCTTCCGTTCCCGTCTGCTCCTCCTGGGCTTACACCATGCATAGACTCATTTATGCACACCATGCATATTTCACACCACCTACTCTAGTGTAAACCACACACACGCACACCACACACGCACAACACAGCTAAAAAGAACACAAACACGGTGGCTGCTGGCTGAAGCCGATCCGAGTTCCTGCTGCCGGAGCGCACATCTGGCCGGAGTGTTCCGGCGTTCGGGCCTTCTTTAGTGGCCCCGGAGAGACGAGCCGAAATCTTTGCAGTAAATGAAGTCAAAGTACAACAAGAATAAAAGAATTCCTGAGCGCAGTGCTCGTCACAATATCAATCAAAACCGTGCCACCGATGCATCAACTGTTCGCAAACGGTTAGCTTCCGTTAACAAAAGCCACAGCCTGAACAGCAAACACCAGTTACATTGAATTGCCCCCAAATACACCACACATTTAGGCCGATCTCCTCCACAGACAACTAAATACTCTGCAGAACAGAACAGGAACTGAGAATACTGTCGTGGTTACTTAACAGACAGGAGATGATGACATGCATCCAAGAAGAGCTACCTCTTAAGAAGACTGAGGCAGGTACTTAGCGTCCGCTTTGGACGACAGGTCTGTCGTTACCTACGAAGCAAAATCTCCCAAAATTTTACAGGAATTTAGAAATTAATGTCATAAATGAAATGCAACATCTCCAAGGGATACAGCAAGGAAGTAGTACACAGGGAGGGTCCTCAACGTGGTACAAAATATCTCCATCAACCTTCTGGTATTCGTCAATTGAATGATCGGAGAACGAGGGAAACTACATCTCTTGGATTTAACATAGAAAGTCATCCCCAGCACTAATGCTCTGTGTACAGTGGCAACCAACTCGTGTTTAGACTCTTCACTCAGTGTACGCCAGCGAGTCTTCTTGGACACAACGCGGCTCTGAAGTGAAGACGCACATCATGGCAATATAATTCCACTCCCCTCGAGGTGAAATCAAACGGGCTACAGTCGATGCATTTGGCAAAATAAAGAATTGCAGAAAACCTGCAAGTAGTAAATCACAGCTTGGTGAACATCATCGGAAGAACTCACGGATTGTGAAAGAAGCAAACAAAAAAAAAGGGAACAAAGATGGCCGATGAGCGATTAAGAAGAAAGCAGCAGCCTGTCGAAGGACGTCACCGACGCTCCTCTGTGGTCACTTCTGTGTGTTCACTGGAAGCTGGTCAACTCTCGTATTTAGAGTTACACTACGTGTGAGCTAGTATTGCTGTGTGTGTGTGCGCGTGCGTGAGGAGGATCAGAGGCCGGCTGTGAATGAGAAGTTGGCGGCTAGCTTAATTCTGCTGCGTGTGGCTCTTCTGCTGGGACTGTCCACGGACACGGTGCACGTCGGGTTGGGCGGCGGTGAGCGAGGTCTGGAGACCGCGGAGTCGTCTGTGAGGCCCGGCGGATCAGATGTGCCGTCAGTAACAGCTGCCACATCAGGGTCACCGCTCACTGAAATCACAAACATTTCAGAGTTCAGCAGCCAAGCCTCAAAGCGCACAAGTCAGACACGGGCTGACCGTCTTAAAGGCTTAAAATGGAAACAAATGCATCACAAACTGACCTGTTGGAGTTCTTTCCTCAAAGTGAATCAGGTCCATCTCCTGGAGGAGAACAGGGTCTGGGTGGAGCTGAGGTGACGGTAGGCAGGACGGTACCGGACCACACAGTAGATCTACCGGTGACGTCAGACAAAGCAGCTCCGATTCTGCTGCAACGTCGCCACCTGACAGGTAGAAAGAGCTCGATACGGTTTCGTCGACATTTCATCTGATCAGAAGCGGAACAGTATTTTCTGTAGTCTTAATAACAGAAACTAAATGGATCTTGAGCACCTGTGTGACCCGTGTTACCTGGACTCTGGGTTCCAGAGGTTGCGTTGCTCACGGGACTGTCTCGTGGGCTCTCCATGTTGTCTCCCGGCTGGGGGCTGCAAGGGACTGAAGGGCTCGCCCTTGCTAAACAAAAAACACACAAACACCTCCCTGTCATACAGCTTCCATACATTTTTGTAGGTGCCTCCTCAAAACATCACTTTCAAGTGTTCCCATGGAGCACCTACAGTTCTGTCCCGTGTCATATGATCACCTCAGCACACGGCCATCATCAACAGCCTTTGTAAACGCCATAGACTTTAATAAATGAAGCGTGCCGTCTCACCTTTCATATCGTTCTTCAAAACGATAATCCTCTTGTGACCGTGCCCTTTGATCCAGACCACCTGATAATGATACCACACAAAACATATGCAGACGATGCAGCGTTACGCTAAAACTATGTTAATAATGAGCTCTGGATCAAGTGTGAGAGTTAAACAACACAGATCTCACTCGTCTCTGGGCAGTCGACACGGACAAATTGCTCCAGACGTACTTGAGTAAAAGTTGAATGAAATGTAATCCCACCTGTGGAATGGCGCCGAGCAGCTCGTCGGTGCCGGTGTATCCGTAGGAACGTGACTCAAGGCTGCAGCCTGTGAATTTGTTGTAAGCCCCCTGGAACTCCGTCAGGAAGATCTGGTTGTAATGGTAGGTGTGGAGCAGGCCGCGCACGTTACGGGCGAACTGGTAAAGTCTGGTCAGCCTCACCCACTCCTCACCGTAGCTGCTGCCAGTGCTGCCGGCTTTGTTGTCGTCATTTTCTTCATCGTACAACTGAGAGAAGAAACATCACAGCGTCAGTGTGGGAGTACAGGTCAACCGCGCAGTAACAATGGAGACACGTTGAGAGAAGATGTGACTGTAGTACAGGAACATGTCGACACTCACCTCCACGAGGTAGGGCAGGCTCTTGAGTAACTCGCTGAGAGAGAGGAACCCATATTCACACGGGTTGAGCGGGGCTCCGTGGACGGTCAGGTAACGCTGACTCAGCTCCTCCACTCCGAGGCCCCTGGTGACTCGCTCCTCCTCTTGGGACATGAGCAGAGCCAGCAGCTGGGAGGTCAGCGAGCGCAAAGACTTCCTGTTGATCAGCTGCACTTCCCGACCCCCCGAGCCATCCGCTACCTTGAAGTTGAAAGAATGCGGCGGGTCGTTTATTATTCATAAAGACACTGGTCTTACCAAGTGAGGACTCTATCATCGTAAAGTCTCTGTAAGCTGCACTAGGTCACTGAAAAAACACTAAATATTTATATTTTAAATCCATTAGAAGCTTCTTTACCTTGACAACGTGGCAGAGTTTGGTGAGCAGAGCCGGAAGGGAGCTGGCGTCGTAGTCCTGCAGGCGGAGGCCGTAACCGAAGGTCTTGCTGTACTCGGTGAGCAGCTGGCTGACGGGAAGGCTGGAGTTCTTCTGAGCCCGAAGCAGCTTGACCAGCTGAGCCGCCAGAGCCTTGATACGCTCCACTTCCGTCAGAGTCAGCACTTTCTCTTCACCACACTCCAACACCTGACAAGAGGTAGGGACAGCTGTTCAATCAGTGTTCAGGCAGAGACAACAAAGAGGCATTCATACTCTATTCAATGCCAATCATTTCTCTTGGCTGCACAACATCGATGGACCATCATTACACCAGAAATACACTTCCTCATTGTTCAGGGTTGGTGCACCGAGGAGCACACGGCATTAAACTGTACAAACGGTGTTTCTAACTCACCATCACTATGTTGGGGATTGCCTCGAAGAGCTCCATGAGCTTGGTGAAGCCGTAGTAGCTGAGTTTGCACTGACGGCCGAAGTGATGGTGGTAGGTGGGGATGAACTTGCTGAAGGCCATTCGGCAGTGAGGCTGGTGACGAAGCAGGTCCACCACCTCCTTCCCAAACTGCTTGGTGCGCTCCATCTCCTCCACCGTACGCTCTGCAGACACACGAGAGGGAACTGAAATCGTCTGCTCAGAACTATTGATGCTCAACTTCTCGGGTAATTCCTCTCTAGAGTAACTAGTTACTTTTTAATGGCCGTAGCGTTGTAATGAAATTAGTTCATTTTAAAAGTATAGTCACCCAACATTGAATACAAAAATATGTATATTTAACAAATGCTTGCTTGGAATGAGGTACATAACATCGTTAGCGCTCCCATCACTGAACAGTATTTGGGATCGTCACTTCACACGACTTTTTAATAACTTAAAGCGGTTTGAACAGACCTCTCTTGGGAACAGAGATCACTGTATCCATGTCTTGATGTGTAACAGTGATGGTGGTGTCTGGGATCTCAGTCAGCAGGTCCATCAGGTCACATGTGCCGTAGTCGATTATCCTCCAGTCTCTAGAGAAGCACCTGATGCACGGGATCACATCACAAACATTAACGCAGATGATCCATCTGTTAATGAGTCGGATTCCCAGGCAGACCCTCAGGTGAAGTGCTAGCATTTATCTGAATGACAAAACGCATTGTAAAGACATCTTCAGCTCCAAACTATGCCGACTGACCAATGGTACGCCTGCATGAAGTCCTTGATCGACACTTGTTTGCTGGCTTGAAATTTAAGTAGCTTGAGAAGGTCTTGGGTGAAGCGCTTCACTTGAGCGCGATGAGTCAGAGTCAGTAAACGCTTGGTACCCATTCCCAATATCTGGAAATAAAAACACACAATATGTAGAATAACAACAAAGAAAAGTACAAAGCTCCTCATTAACCTAAATACCTGCAGGACATGTGGCACCGCCTCCAGTAGCTCCAGCAGCTTGGAGTAGCCATAGTCAGAGACACGGCACTGCTTGGCAAAGTGATGGTGGTACGAGGGTATGAACTTGCTCATGGGCATGATGCAAGAAGGCTGACTCTTCAGCATGTCGATAATCTCACGGCTGAATTGGATGAGCTGTGGGTTGCCAACCGGACTCTTGCAGCGCTGAATCCATGGTTCTAAATGACACAAAAAAAAAAAAAAAAAAAAAAAAGTCTGTATATCTGGCTGGTACAAACAGCACTAGGTATGGCATTGTAGGAACCTCAAACAACCTACCGGAGTTTGGTGCTGGTGGTTTGTTGTGGATCCACTTGATGACTTTGAAGCCATTCTGAGCGGTGACGATGGTGATGCTGGGAACACAGGTAATGAGGTGCTCCAGAGGAACGCCGCCCTCCAGCGTCTCATTACCCAGCTGCAGACGGCTGAACTTTGCTGCATAGCAGTCTGGAAAACTACATGGAGAACACACTACATTACAAACCTTATAAATGTGTGTGTGTTGCTTTAAAAAAAAAAAAAAAAACTAAACAACCCCAATAAATGAATACATTAATTAAAGAGCTGGTTGTAACCTGAGTAATGGAAGAGTTCCCTCATGCGACTGCAAAAGGCTGTGCACCTCAGATGCTACGGTGCTCAGCGACATCACAACAAAAGGTATTTGATAAGAGTCGGGGTCAAAGTCAGCCTCACTAAGAAGGAAAAAGAAAAAGAAATTAGTCAGACAGTTATGAGACATTCTGCTTCATTTGTACAGTTCAGAGATCAGCGTTTGTGAGAATGATGATTCAGTGAGAGACAGGATAAGAATTTAGCCTAATGTTCTGTGTATAACCTGAAGTCGCGCTGTGTGTAGTGGTCTCTGCAGACCGGTTCGTGGTACTCCAGCTCCTCAAACACCACAGGGCTGCCGCTAGCAGAGGAGGAGCCCTCCTGGGACTGAGACGACCCCAGTGGACTCTGACGGATTTGGCTGCTGGGCAGTAGACACACAAGCCTCGAGCCGCCCTGTTCCCGCACTGCCACCACCTCAGGTAGTCTGTACAGATCCCCAACCACAAGCTTACGGGAATATCTGGGGGGGGGGGGGGGGGGGGGGGTTGTGGAGATAGTAAAAAAAAAAAAATGGTAAAATAT